GCGGCTAGGGGTAACAATGTGAAGGGAGAACATGGTTGGGGTGGGATGGGGTGACAGCGGGAAAGGGGGCCACTGGTGCAGCCTCAGCTACAAGCCACAGACCCAAAGGGGCTGTATACCACGGGAGGCAAACCTGATAGAATACTTTCTGCACCGGGGTGGTTACCAGAAAAAAGGGGTTTGTGGCTTGAAAATGTGGCGTGACCAGAGGCTCAGGTTAAGAGGGAGGCTCAGGTCTGTTGTGTGTGACCGAGGGCAGCACATGAAAAGCAACAGTGCGAGAGAGGGTCGGGAGAAATAGTGGAAGGGCGGGGTACTTAGCTGTGGGTGGGTTGGGTGGAGAGCAGCTGCTGCCTGTGCACTCCATGTCCCCCGCCACTGCCACTCCCGTGTGAGCGACCTGCTGGGACGAGAGGGGGTAGGTCGGGACAGAGAGAGGAAGGGAGGAGGGGGGGGGGGGGGGGAAGTGAAGGGGGCGCAAAGGAGTGGGAAGTGCAGTGAGGACAAAAACCCAAGACAAGTGAAAGTGAAGAGTGCAGCAAGCGCAAGCATGATGCGTGCATGAATGGACTGCTGCAGTGGCACAGAGCTAACCACAGGGCTAATCCCAGCGCTAACCACAGGGCTAATCACAGCGCTAACCACAGGGCTAATCAAAGCGCTAACCACAGTGCTAATCATAGGGCTAACCACAGGGCTAATCACAAGGCTAACCACAGGGCTAACCACAGGGCTAACCACAGGGCTAACCACGGGGCTAATCACAGGGCTAATCACAGTGCTAACCACAGGGCTAACCACAGGGCTAATCACAGGGCTAACCACAGGGTTAATCACAGGGCTAACCACAAAGCTAATCACAGGGCTAACCACAGGGCTTACCATGGGGCTAATCACAGGGCTAATCACAGTGCTAACCACAGGGCTAACCACAGGGCTAACCACAGGGCTAACCACAGGGCCAACCACATGGCTAACCACAGGGCTTATCACAGGGCCAATCACAGTGCTAACCATAGGGCTAACCACAAGGCTAATCACAGGGCTAATCACAGTGCTAACCACAGGGCTAACCACAGGGCTAATCACAGGGCTAATCCCAGTGCTAACCACTGTTAGAATATATATGTAACTGCCTGTAGCTGTAGTGTAGTGTAGTTATTATAACCTATTGGTGGTGCACCTTCTTTGCATGCTTTGTTTGCTATTTGTACCTCGCTCAATAGTGAACTCATCCTCTTTGGCTAAACTCTCTCGACATGTTTCTCTCTCAAGTCTCCTCCTACCCCAAACCCTAGTGTTCACTTAATCTACTATTCTAACATGGTATTAAGAGCTACGTCGTCCTAAGACCTATTTTTTCCCCCATGGGCCCACCACGTATCCCCCCGCTCATGGCGCTCGTCACGCCCCCCGTCGCGACCGTAGTTACGACGGTTGCAACGGTCGCGACCGTCAAAACGGTCTCGGCGGCGAGCTGCGCGACGGTGTCAGATGCGGCCTCGTTTCGTCTCCCCGTCACGCCCGTTGCCCCTGCTCGTCGCGCGCATCGCCTGCCCCGCCCAGTTCTGTCACGAACACAGCAGCAGCCGCGCGCAGCTGCGTACGACCGTGCGCACCCGCGCACGGTCGTGTGTGCCAGCACCAGCGCCCGTCGCCAGCGACGACGCCAGCGCCAGCAGCAGCTAACGCCGCCCCCCCCTTCCCTTCCGCAGCTTCCGTCGTGGGGGGGGGAAATATGGGGGTGGCGGGTGTGAGTTGCCTGCAGCCCGTCCTTCCCCTCCCTTCAGCGTGGTCCGCCGTGAGGGGGGAAGAGGTTGCGGGGGGGGGGGTGAGGGGAAAGGGGGAGATTGTGAAGGAGTGGAGAGAGAGATTCTGCCGAGCCAGCAGCCGCCCCTCCTCCTCTCTCTCTCACTGCCGCGTGTGCTGCCGTGGGGGGGAGGGTGAGACGGTAGCGGAAGTCAGCTAGGCATCTGCAGCTGCCGCCCGCTGCTACCGTGACACCTCCTGCTGCCGCCCCTGCCTCCACCTGTTGTTTATTCTGCTGTCTTCTGCTGTTGAGCGGCAGGTGCTGCCGTTGAGCCCTGCTGTGCCGCCGCACGGTGCCGCCGCACGCACCCGCTCTCCAGGCGACCTGCCGCCACATGCACCTTTGCCTGTTGCTTCTACCTTGGCTGAGAGGTTGGTGTAGCTGAGTCTGCCACCACTGCACCGGTTGCCACTGCTCTTGCCTGCTGATGCTGTTTTCTCTGTTCGTGGTGTACCCATTTAGGATGTGTTGCTGCACAAACTCCTGCTGCAGGCAGTTATGGGGGAGTGTTAGAATATATCTGTAACTACCTATAGCTGTAGTTTAGTGTAGTTATTATAAACTGTTGGTGGTGCACCTTCTTTGCATGCTTTGTTTGCTATTTGTACCTCGCTCAATAGTGAACTCATCCTCTTTTGGCCAAACTCTCTCGACATGTTTCTCTCTCAAGTCTCCTCCTACCCCAAACCCTAGTGCTCACTTAATCTACTATTCTAACAACCACAGGGCTAACCACAGGGCTAAGAATAGGGCTGATTACACCACGTAGGTTGTGCTTCATGGCACGCTAGTCACAGGGTTGTGCATTTCGGTATTCTAATCTCAGCGCTTGTGCACCGGAGCATACAAGGAGGTGCATTCGGAATTTTAACCGCAGGGTTAATACATGTGAGGAAGCTAATTACAAGGAGTGTGCGTTGGGCCCAGGACTTGATCGTCACGGTGCTCATGCATCAGGAAAGGCTACGATAATCAGAGGTCTGGGCCCCTAGAGTAGCACTGCGCTGTGCATTAGAGCCACCAAGTAGAGGGTACGCACACCAGACTGCGCATCAAAGTGTGCTAACCACAGGGCGTATTTAAACCAGTTATGGTCCAGGAAATTGCATGACGGCACACCAACCCCAAAGCTTATGCATCCAGCGAATGCACCGGGGGACATGCTAATTTTGGTTTGTGTTTATTGCCCAAGTACAGGGTGTGTGTTGTGCATCAGGCAGGCAAGGCAAGGTTAGACGCATGCTAGTGCTCATTCTAAGGCTTGTGGTGCACACAGTACAGTATGGTAGGTATGGAGCACTTGTCACAGTACATAACAGTACAATACAGGACAGTATTCTCAGGGCTTGCGTTCAGGGAGAATTAATGGCATGCACATGGGCAGGGCACGCTAATCACATTCGCCATACTATAGGACATGCCAAATTAAGGGGTGACATTTCTGAGACTCCGTCTCCCGTATGAAGCCTGAAATTAGAGTGAAGATTTTTGGTCGATTATTGGATGTCTAGCATCCACTATTTAAAAAAGGTTATGGTATGCCTTGCCTTACCATAGATTTTTTTGGAGTGTTTTCAAATACACATTCCATATGGAGAAGATATCGAAGCAGTGTTTGCATCCCTAGGTGATTTACACGGTGGCATGCGTACAGCGGAGATGCACTCGCGCTATTGGGCGAGATTTCATCAAACCGTTCAAGATCAAACCGAACCATCCCCCCTCAGATACCGAACCTGTCAGAGTGCCCAACACCGTCAGAGTATGTGCCGAACCTGACCTTTCCCCAAGAGATTTCCGAGGCAAAACCTGACGGACCTGTGAGGTTTGCCTCAATATCATCATCTAGACCAAAATAGTTAGGAGGCATCGCAAATCCCCAGGTCGAATATAGTCTTCTACGTTTTAGGGATTTTCTGTGTCAGTTGCGTGTCAACCGAGGTATTGTAGTCGCACAAGGATAGGATCAGCGTGATATCTGATCATTCATGGTGAAGATACAGTAGCCGGGTCATTAGCTATTCGTAACTTCACGATCCATGGTGCCTCGCTGCGCTATCGGATCCGCTCGCGTGTAAGTCCAGGTTGTCTCCTTTATTTTCAGCCGTTTGTAACTTCGAAAGTCATTTTGACTAGTTGGTCCCGTGCACCGGTGTGATTGCTGCACTGGTTGGCGCCATAGCTTTAGATGCAAATCAAACCCTCGTTTCTCGCCTTCCTCTTGTCCTGCAACTCCGTACTTTACTAGCTCTGTTACCTTCGCGGTTTTTTGCTAGTTTCCTCTTCGTTTATTTGTTTGTTCATTCGTTTGTTTGCTTGCTCTCTGTCGTAACTGTCCTACCTACATCGGTAACCTGAAACCGACAGTTACATTCTACAACGTACCTTTTCCCTCAAACATCTTGTCCTCGTGGTCTCCTTTTGTCTCCGGATCCATTTCCTTCCTCCTCCTCCGTTGCTCTTTTCAAATCTCACGGCCCGCCTGGAGCCGTGTGCTCTCCGGCGGGCGGATCTCGAGATGGCTCAAAATTCAACTTCCCCTTTGCTGTTTCAAACCCTACTGTTCGCGTGAAACCCCTGCGTGCCCATGAGCTCCAACAGGCGCCACGCCAACCGATCGCTCGCGAATGGGCCCTTGTCGCCCACCCGCGCAACCATTCCCCCAGCCTTCCCCCGGGACGCCTCTCCGCCCCCCCGAGGCGGAAGCGGAGGGCGCAAGCCGACCAAGAGTAAGGTTGAGAGCAATGCTGGTCATCACACCCCCGCTTGCGTCAGCAACCCTAATTCTGCCGGACCAGCTCGGACCCAGCAGCAGCAGCAACTGGGCGAGGCTTCTGCGCTTACCGGGACTGTTTTTACCGGGGTCAAGAGAGGGGATTCCAGCCTGACTGTCAGTGCGGCGAGTAGGAAGGCGGGTGGGGAGAAGGGGGATTCGGACTCAGGGCAGATGCGGCTTACTGGGCGAGGCAGCACGACTGGTAAGAGCAGCGGCGGGGAGGGCGGAGGGTTGGCGAACAGCAGCAGCACCCGCAGCAGCAGCAGCAGCAGCAGCACTAGGGGTGTAAACAGCAGCAACAGCAGCGGCAGTAGCAGCGGTGGCGGAAGCGGAAGCAGCGGAGGCAAGAAAGGGGGGGAGTTGGGCGGAGGGGGGGTGCGGGAGGTGCGGGTGGAGGCGATGTTCTTCGTACACATGTGCGTCTTCCTCGCCATCCAGCTGCTCTGCCTCCACCGCTCCGCACTGCATGATATCAACTTCCATGTTGTGAGTGCATTGAACCGTTGACTATCACGTCCCTTAAACCGTTGATTACTGTGTCGTGAGTGCATCTCGTCGCCATTATTCTCTGGTTCCGTCTTATTCGTCCAATTCTTCCCGACTTTCCGCTCTCATGTGTCTATCTCAACACGCCCACACGCCCTCCCATCTCAGGTGCTTCTGGTCTGTCTGCTGCTCCTGCGCCGCATAGTCGCCTGCTTCATCGACTTCCACCCACCTGCCGCCAATAAAGCCTCCGCACCTGCAGCCTCTCGGTCCGGCACTGGTAGAAGTGCTAGCAGCAGCTTCCTCAGTCGACTCTTCCTCCTGAGTAGCAGGAGGAACGGAAGCGCCATTCCACCTCCTGCCTCTCTCAGTGGTGCTGGCAACGCCACGTCTTCCGCAACGGACAGAGTAGGTGACAGTGTAGCTTCTAGTGCGGTTAGGAGTGCAAAGGAAACAGTCACCAGTGGTACAAAGGCGTGGAGGGTGCAGGGGAAGGCTGGGCGGGGAGGGGATGAAGAAACGGCTGGTGCTGATGGCTCTGCTGCCAGGGAGCCGTTTCTTACGACTGGTAGCGGCATGGCGGCGGGGGATGGAGTAATCAAGTCAGGCAATCACCACGACCACACGAATAGTTTCGGTGAAATCGGGGGAAGCATCATCGGCGCAGGAGGGGCAGGTGGTGCGGCGGATTGCGCTGGTTCAGGCAATGAGCTGTTGCTGGGAGACGATTCGACAGTGAAGGGGAGCTCTCTGCTTAATCCAGGGCTTGCTGAACCAGGGAGAGCCTTGGGGCACGGGCAGTGGGAGCAGCATGTCTTTCCGCCCCTGGGCCTCGTCACTGGCACCTGCAGCTCCCTGCTTCTGGTACACCCGCAATTTTCTTGTCGCTTCTCGCTCGTCAGTTCAGGCTTTCTTTCAATAGTAGCTGTTGCGTCCAAGCTCCTTTGCTTTTATGCCTTGGCTTGTTTCCGCTCCTCCTTGCAACTCTATGCTTACCAGGAGTATCCGCAGGTCTGATCTCCCCTCCCTTACTGCTCTGGATGCCCCTCCCTTGCTTTCACCCCTCTGCTCCTTCTCTCTCATCTTCCCCCCCCTCTTTGCTATGTGTCACAGGTGGGGCTGTATGTGGCGGCCGTGGCTCTGCTCGCGCTTAAGCTCTCCCTCACCCTCCCCTGGCAGTCACAGCTGCTCCTCTTCGTCCCGTGCGTCCCTTACTGCATTTCTTGCTCTGTGTGGCCTTGCGTTTATGTCTCCAGTGTGCCCTTGATTGGTGCTTGTTGCGCTCCACAGCACCATGTTTCCGTGCTTGATTGGTGCTTGTTGCATACCCGTGTGCTTGTTGCCCTTGATTGGTGCTTGTTGCATACCCGTGTGCTTGTTGCCCTTGATTGGTGCTTGTTGCATACCCGTGTGCTTGTTGCCCTTGATTGGTGCTTGTTGCATACCCGTGTGTTTTCCAGCTCCCAGCTGTCCCCTCCTCCGTCCCCTCCAATTCCCGTGTAAATAATTTCCAGCTCTTCATGTCTCTGTCCCCTCCAATTCCCTATTTCCCCCTCCGATCCCCCCCAATCCCCTCCCATCCCTTTGAATACCCTTCAATCCCTCCCAATCCGCCGATTCTCGCGCCAGGCCCATCTGCTACGCCATAATCGTTGCTTTGCTCAATCATCAGATCAGATCCCTTCATCGCGATGCTCCTCTAATCCCCCCAATCCCTTCCCATCTCTTCTAACCCTCCCAATCCCCCCCTTGCCCTCACCAGGCCCATCTGCTACGCCATAATCGTTGCGCTGCTGAACCACCAGATCAGGTCCCTGCATCGCGACGCCCCTTTCTCCGCCCCTCCTCACTCGCTCCCCTCCCTGCGCCCCGCCACTCTCATCCCCTCTTCTGTCGCACCCGATAAAAGCACCACATCAGCAGCAACAGGATCAGCAGCAACAGCAGGTGTAGCAGCAGCAGCAACAACCCCCCTCTCTGTCCTTCCATCCTCCACAGTAGCAGCTTCGCTTTCATCACAATCCCTACAGCAACCACTCCTGCTCCCTCAGAGCCAACCCACCTCGTCCCTTCCTCCTCCCCTCTCCTCCCTCCCTCACCCCCCTAGCCATCCATCCAGTCAAAACTCGCACTCGCACTCTCACGCTGCCCCTCCCTCCTCCATCCCTCACACCTCCCCATCCCTACATGACTCTACAGTCCCACAGCGAAATCCACTGTCTGCTGCTGCTCCTCTTCATGCAGCAGCAACGCCTTGCCAGCAGCCAAGCGGTGTGCATTCGGTTTCTCCCTGCAGCAACCAGCCAATCAGCGTTCCTCTGGCGTCACAACAGACAAAAATCCCTAGTGGGGAGCCGCCTGGGGAGGCGACAGGAGAGAGGGGAGGGAGTGGCGTCAGCAAGGCAGGTGCTATGAATGGTGGCAGCACTGGTACCAATACCAGCACTAGCGGCAGCGATGTGAGTGGTGGCATTGTCAGCACCAGCACCAGCAGCAACAGCACCACCAGTCCCACCACCAGCAGCACCAGCAGCGCCAGCAGCAGCAGCAGCAGCAGCAGCAGCAGCAGAGGCGGCAGCATGAGGAGCAACAGCAGTAGCATCGGCGCTGCTTCTTCTGGTAGTGCGTCTGCATCGGCCTCCGACTTCACGCGGTTCACTCGCAAGCTGCGGCGCTGGCCCAAGCTGCTGATGCGCCTGGTGCTGGTGGAGGCGTGCATGGGCAGCTACCTCGTGGGCGTCGTACCCATCAAAGGCACCTACGTGAGTCTCTGTCGTCCCTAGTATATGGCTGTTTAGGAGTGCTCATGCTGCTCTGTCTGATCTATTGCCACCTTTCCTAGCACCATCCAAGTTTCTTCTTCTCCCCACCCATCTCCCCCGATCTGCCTTCCTTCTCTTGCCCCCCAGATGCACGAGCCGGCTGTCGTGCTGCCTGCTGCTGGGGTACGTATTTGTGGGAGCCGCCATGCTGCTGCTCATGAAGGAGGCGGTGCTGCCCTGCTCATCTCAAACCCCTGATGCCCCCCCTCCCCTTCTTGACTTCCAGATGCACGAGGACATCCTAGTGAGCCGCCTGACGTGCTGCTTGCTGCTGGAGTACGCGTTTGTGGGAGCCACCATGCTGCCGCTGATGAAGGAGGCTGTTCTGCGCCGGTTGATGCGTGGTTTAGCTCAAACACCTGATCCGCCTCTTGCCGCCTGCCCTACTCTTCCCCACCTCCCTCGCCCCTTTGTCCCCCGTCCCTCCCCCATCCCCTGTGCTTCAGATGCACGAGGACATTCTAGTGAGCCGCCTCTCCTGTTGTCTGCTTCTGGGATACGCGTTTGTGGGCGCGGCCATGTTGCTGCTTATGAAGGAGGCGGTGCTGCGCAGGGAGCAGGTGGAGTATGTGGCGGCGCACCTGGGGTGCTGGCACCGCGTTGACGTGCCCAACTTCACCATCAGCAGGTGAGCTCGTGGGTGCGTGAGAGCAGGGAAGGGGAGTGCCTCAGTTCTGTTCTGCGCTGCAGCCTCAGCAGTGTGCAGTAAGAAAGACTGACACAAGTCCTCTTGACTTACTCCCCGCTCTTCTCCTCTTATTCCACCTCATAAGGGATGTGGTGGAGTAGAACCCCCCTGTGTGGAGAAAAACGCGTTCAGCGTTTGGAACGCTTGCGTTCAAACGCAGCGTTTAAAACGCAGAACACTTTTTGTGGCTTCCAAAAAACGCAGAAAAAACGCAGGCCCGGGCAGGGTAAAAAAAAGTACGGGCAGGCAAAAAAAACTTCTCATGGGCCATGGGGAGGGGGGGGAGAAGCACATAGCATAGATTTGAGCAGTTTTTTTCCCCCCACAGATTTTTTTTCCCCATGTCATTTGGTCCCCAAAGTCACATTTAGTCTCATTTACTCACTCTAGTCTAGCAATAAGCAAACTAGAGCATGCGAGCACGCCATCTCCCCCTAATCCTTGTCCTCCCCGCCCTCCTCCTCCTTGCCCGTCTCCTTGTGCTCGTACTCATCCACACAGAGGGGAGGTTTTGCAGGGTCGATTTGGGTTGGAGCCATCGTGCAGCAAAGGAGCCTGGGGCTTCCACCTACACTAGTCCTTGTGTCCTCTTTCTGTGTCTGTTCCTCTTCCCATCTCCTTGTATTCTCTGCACCTCCTCACCACACCAGGGACGTTGCTGAGTGGAATCCCCACAGTGTGCCGTACAGTGAGGGAGCCATCGTGCAGCGAGGGGGGCGTCTCTTTGTGGGCCTTGGCAGGTTCAACACCGCTCAGCCCGGCTCGCTCTCCGCCGCTCTCCTCTTTGTAACGCCCAGCAGCCCTTCATTACCTTAATGCTAGTTTTTCTAGTCCTTTCTGAGACGTCTCAGAAACACCGCTCAGCCAGGCTCGCTCTCTGCCGCCCTCCTCTTTTAACGCCCCCACCCCCCTTTCCCATTCGTTTTCCTTCGACGCTGAAATTCCATCTGCCAACGTAAAGAGCTCTGCCTCATTCCATGTGCTGAAGCTCATGGTTGAAACTATTATCTCTGGGCAATGTGCGCTGTTGATGCAGTAGTGCTCTCATCTCACCCATCTGTCTAGTCCCCTCCTGTCTCTCACCTCCTCCCACCTGTGTCTTCCCGCCTGTGTCTACAGCTGCTGCACCACCAGCCGCTGGTCTTCTCCAACTGGGTAGTCGGCACACAGATTTGCGTCTCGGTGAGCAGCCACGCTGAGTTGATTCGTATTGCCATTGTGCAAATGCTATTGTGTCACACGTGTATCCTCATTCCTAATTCGTGCACCCTGATTCCTCGCATACAAACCAGGCATCGCAGGTGCTGCTGCTGCTGGTGTGGTCGCGGTGGTGGGAGGGGTATGCAGTGATGGCGCTGGTGGGGTACCACTCGCTGCTCTTCTTCCTCTCCTGCCGCCACCTCTGTAACGCACAGCAGCAGGCGGTGTCAGCCCAGCAGCAGCAGCGCCAGCAGCAACTCATGCAGCATCAGCAGCCACACCAGCAGCAGCCACAGCAGTTGCAGCATTCCGAGAAGTCTGGGCACAGCAAGAACGGTGGTCATGGGTTGTGCTATGGTGCGGTTGGAAGCAAGGATAAAGGTATTCCAGCGAAAGCATCAGGCCTTAAGTCCAAGGCTGGAAAGGGGATGTCACTTGGAGTGGTTACTGCACCTAAGCCCTAGGCTGCTTTTTCTAGATTCACGTGTAACATCTGAGGTAGCAGTAGAATTGGGACAATGAAATACCAGTCCTTTAGAGGACTGGTTGTGAAAGGATGCATGTGGATAATGGATTTGAACTGATGGACGTTCTTTGCCTTTGTCGAATTGGAGTACATGGTGTTTCTATTTCTAAAACAACCCTAAGATTGGGGAACATTGGGGGTAGATTAGTCATGGGAAAATATGCCATTCGTAACGAAAATGGGACTCGAAAACATTTTTGGTAAAAAAATAAAGGGTACGGTCACTGCAAAGGGTGTTTTCACGGAATCAGTCACTCGTAACTGGTAAGAAATCACGCGAATGGTCACATATGAAACTCCCACCAAAAAATATAACCCAAATGGAACCGGGATTCATTTTCGGACGAATCAACCCTAAACACGTAAATCGCCAGGTGTTTAGGGTTGATCCGTTCCCAAACCGCATCCGATTCCGATTGGGTTTTAGTTTTGTTAGAACTTAGCAGATTGGTTGGGCGCGAGCGGGAAATTTGTAGAGTTTCAAGAATCTTTGGCGGGAGTTACATGTGTGACCATTCGCGTGATTTTTTTTCCTGTTGTTAGTGACTGAATCCGTGACCCCACTTACCAAACCCGTCAGGAAACCCGATACAGTGACCGTACGCGTTATTGTTTTTACCATTCGTGTTATCGAGTCCTATTTTGGTTACTTGTAACATATTTTCCCATTAGTCATCATATATGCCCACAACACAAGCCCATCAACCCTCGAGATTTTTTTTTTCCGCGTTACAAGCTCCCGCGCGGTTCACCGTATCCGCGGAAGGGAAGATACTGGACTGGTGGTCAGATGTGCGGCGGCGATACGCCTTGGGCTTTCCGGAGTCTGACACTCGGGGGTGTCAGGGATGTGGTACATCCATTGCATCACGATTCGTGATCCGTCGATTTGCTCGGACGGCAACCTTTTGTAACCGTACAATATCGTACTGAACCACAGTCGGAAAGCTCATTAGACTGAGTTTTGAATCATTCCAATACTAGCGTCCACCTGCAACTTCTGCTTGCTGAATTGAGCATGATGGTATCACCAAAATGGTACTACTATTTTCTTGCTATAGTCTCTGAATAGCTAGCAGATCGCGCGTACGCTGGTATGGTGGTGCGGTGAGTTCAATGTCTCTAGAACTTATCGATGCGTCGACGATATTGTATGAGGTTAGCAGTTTCTGGTTTAGGGTTACCTCGTAAGCACTGTACGGAAGCAGGGATGGAAATTAGGGTCATCTGACCTGACGCCACTGATAGTCCGGCCATGTGCTGTGTGCCGTCGCGATTCCGTTCGCTGTGACCTGATGAAACTTTTAGTCGGCATATCATCATGATCATTTGTTAACGTTCCTGATTACTGCCGCGTGAGATGTCGTCGAGAACGTCAGGTGAAGTAGGATAGGGTACAGCGCGTAGCATCTCTGCGCGTAGCATCTCCGCGCGTAGCATCTCTGCTCGCAGCATCTCCGTGCGTAGCATCTCTGCTCGCAGCATCTCCGTGCGTAGCTTCTCTGCGCTTAGCATCTACGCGCGTAATAGCTCTGCGGGTCGACCTATTTCTCAGCGCGGATCCGCTTCCGCGCTCCGCCATCCGCCATCTGCCTTCCGCCATCCGCCATGGGCGACACGTTAGGCGCCATCGTGGAGTACTTAGAGCGCAACAACCTCCACAAGGCCGCGGAGGCGCTGCGACTCGAAATGTCGCAGAAGCAATCGTCGCAGAAACAGGCGTCGCAGAAACGCCCTTCGCAAAAACTGCCGTCGCACAAGTTCCCGCAGTTCTCTCCTCCCGCCTCCTCCTCCTCCGCAGCCGCCGCTGCCGCCTCCTCCCGCCCTCCGCCCGATCCGTCCGACATGGACGTTAATCTCTTCCTCTGGATGAAGCAAGACCAGATGTTTAATCGCGGCTCCGGGTTTTCCGGTGCAGGAGGCGGCGCCAGCAGCAGCGGCGGGACCGGCGGGACCAGCGTTACTGGCGGCGGGTTCGCGGGATTCGCGGGATTCAATGCGATTGCGCGGAGCAACACGGCGCCGTCGCAGTTTCTAGAACATGCCGGCCTGCCGTGGTCGCCCGCGCACTCTCCGCCCATGGCGCAATCCCCCTCCGCCACTCCCCCCATGTCCCAATCCCCTTCCGCCACTCCGCCGGGCCGCTCTCCTCGTCAGCCGCCGCACGCTCTCGCTGCGTCGGGAGCACCTCCTAAGAGCGAGCATCCGTTTTCCGCGGCGTATTTCCCAAAATCCCCGTCCCTGCCGTCTCCCACGTCCCTGTCGTCCTCTCCGTCGCTGGACGTAGTTCCCGAGGAGGACGCGTCTCTGCACGCCGCTGCTCTTGTCGAACCAAATAGCTCTGGTTCGGCAGCTTGCGCGGGAGCAGGCTCGGCGACATTAGGTTCGGAAGCATCAGGTTCGGCAGCAACAGGTTCGGCGTCATTAGCGCCGTCAGGTCGGGATCTCCCTGGTGCGACGGGAGGGCAGGAAGCAGACAGCCGCAATCTCGTTCCTCTCGTCGTTGCAGACCCTATTTTAGGCTTAACCGAATCCCCTCAAAAAGCTGCTCCGGTATTGGATATAGGACCTTCACCTGCTGACGCCGCCGCCCCAGTCGCGTCCGCGTTAGACAGCGGTTTTCCCCGTTTGAAGCCGATTCGCCTCAGTGCAGAGAGCCGCGAGGGCGTGAACCTGGTCGCGTCGCTGGACTTCGGGATTGGCTCGCTGCGGGAGAGCAGAGGGGGCGGAGAGAGGGACGGAGGGGGGAGTGACTGGGGCGCAGGAGGAAGCGCAAGGGGCAGCGGGGGAAGCGCAAAGGACAGGGGGGACAGTGCAAGAGGGAGCGCAGGAAACGAGTTGGAAGGTGTGGGGGGTTTGGAAGAGGTAGGAGTGGGTGCAGAGGTGCTTGAGTTTGCAGCGGTGCCTGGTGTGCGCGAGGTGGGGGAAGCGCACGGACTGGCGGAAGTTGATGGGCGGAAAGACGTGGCAGCTCCCCCCCAGCAGGAAGGGGTGGGGCAGCAAGGGGTGGCGCAGCAGGGGGGCGCGCATCACCAGCGGCAGGCATCAGGGGAGCGCAGCCCCGTGGGGTCGTCCGCGCCGTCCTCGCCCCTCCCTACAATCACAATCGGCCCCGTCGTTGTTGGCTCAGAGGTGCTGTCAGAAGAATTCGGTATAAGGCGCCCGCGTGGTGATGGGACGCTGGCAGGAGGGGGAGGGTCAGGGAATGTGCTGAGAGGGTCAGAGATGACTTCTTCTAGCTTTCCCCATGAGCTGACCCGAAGCTCTCCTCTTGGGTCGTCTCGAAACTCGCCCAGGGGAGGGTTGGGAGGAAGCGGAGGGTCCGGGCCTGTGCTGTCTCGTTCAGGGACACAGGACGGGTCAGCGTCGATGGTAACCAGGTCCACGTCAGCAGCTGCTGAGTCAGACGCGGGGGAGCGCGGGCAGGGGGTGGATTATAGCGAGATGCTGCTGTTAGAGGGTAGTGGGTCTGACTCTGACGCGTATGAAGATGAGGAGGACGTGGGGTACATTAGGAGATTAGTAGAGGATGAGGAGAGGTTTTTATTGTATGAGTTAGATTCAGAGACTGATGAAGACAAGGGGAGCAGCAGTAAGGTTTCGGTGGGTAAGGGTGAAGGGGCGGGTGCGTTGAAGGATGAGCAGGGGGGCAGCAGCAGGAAAGGTTCGGAGGGTAAAAGCATGGGAGAGGGGAAAGGGGTGGAAGAGGGGAGTGCTTTGGATAAAGACCTGTCGGTTCGTGAGGCAGAGAAGGGGAGCAGCAGCGGCACAGCAGGGAAAGGGGTGGAGATGAGATCTGGAGCGGTGCAGAAGGGTAGTGGGGCAGGGGAGGGGGCGGAATCAGGGAGCAGGGCAGCAGGAGCTGCAGCAGGGGAGGCAGGGGGTGTTGACGAGGGGGAGAAAGAGCGAGGGAGTGGGGGGGAGAGGTTGAACGGTGGGGCAGAGGCGGTGGAGGGAGGAAGCGCTGTGGATCTGATTGGGGATTCGATTGATACGAGGACCAGCGATGCTGGTGGACTACATGGTGGTGGTGCCGCTAAGAGTGCTGATAGGAAGGGTGGCAGGGGTGTGATTTTACAGAATGTGATTGTAGGAGGTGGGGCAAGGGGCAGTGGGGGTGGGGCAGGGGGAGGGGCGGAGGAGGGGCGGAGAGATGACGAGCAAGATGGGGAGGGGGGAGGGGCTGGTTTTGGAGAGGGTTTTGGAGGCTTCGGGGGTGGTGGGGGGGACAGGGGAGGAGGGGACGGGGGAGGCGGGTTTGGGCACGATGGGGAAGGGGGGGGCTTTTCGTTCCGCTCGCCCTCGAGTAACGAGGGGCTTTCGCGGGGTAACTCCGGGTGGTCGGGGCTGGGGGAGGGGTTAACCCCGCCGTCCCTGGGCAGCAGCGGAGCGGCAGGCATGGGGGAACAGGAGCTAGAGCACGAGCTAGAGAGAATGGGGAGCGTTGCTGATAGCACTTTAGAGGTCTGGAAGAAACAGGCCAGTGGTACGTTTCCGAAGCTGGCCCAGACTGCTTCGGGGAACTGGGATTTTGCGGACAAGGGGAGTGTGGGGGGCGGGGGAGGAGGGGAGGGGAGGAGTGGGGCGGGGAGTGAGGGGGGGAGTGGGAGGAGTAGTGTGGGTGGGGATAGGCTGTCTAGGCTTTCGGTGGAATCGGCTGAGGTTGGGGAGGTGGGGGAGGTGGGAGGGGTGGGAGGGGTGGGGGGATTGGGGGAGGAAGAGGTGGGAACGGGAGAGGAAGAGAAGAAGCAGGATGAAACGAGAGTGGGAGGAGAAGCAGGGAGAGGGAAGGCAGTGGGGAAGGAAGGAGGGGATGCGGCAGGGGGTGTCGAGAAGAAGGCAAAGAGTGGGGAGCAGGCAGCAGTAGCGGTTAAAGAGGAGGGGAAGGAGGAGGGGAAGGGGAAGGAGGAGGGGAAAGCGAAAGAGGAGGAGTTTGAGACGTTCAATCTGAGAGTCATTCACAGAAAGAACAGGTGAGGAGCTCTTTGAGTCTTTTGAGACGTCTCAAAAGTCGTTCAATCTGAGAGTCGTCCATTGAAAGAACAGGTGAGGAGCTTTCTGTGTGCTGTGTTTTGAGACGTCCCTTTGAGTCTTTTGAGACGTCTCAAAAGTCATTCAATCTGAGAGTCATCCACAGAAAGAACAGTTTAGTGAGAAGCCCTTTGAGTCGACTCAAACGCCACTACTGCGTCTATTTAAAACAAGACGTATTCCCTCACTCCTCCCCTCAACCCTACCCCTCCTTCGCCCTCCTCCGCCCTCCTTCCCTCCACCCCTCCTCTGCAAAAATGGTTTCGAAGAGAGGAAGACTTCTCAGTGCGCCAAAAATCCCCCCTTGCTCTCTCCTCCCCTCCCTCTTTCTCCCCTCCACATCCCCACCAGAACGGGGTTTGAGGAAGACATGGCCTTTCCAGTGGTCATGAATTCTGTCATAGCGGGTCGGTACTACGTGACAGATTACCTGGGGGCAGCGGCGTTCAGCAAGGTTATTCAGAATCCGTATAAACGCTATATTGCATAAGGACCAAACACTCCTTCCCCCTCCTTGTGTTGTGTGTCTCCCCACCCCACCCCACCCCACCCCACCACATTCCCACCAGAACGGGGTTTGAGGAGGACAAGGACTTTCCAGTGGTTTTGAACTCGGTCATAGCGGGGCATTACCACGTGACAGAGTACCTGGGGGCAGCAGTCTGGATACAGACCGTATTGCATAGAGACCAAACGCTCCTTTCCCCTCCTTGTGCTCTGTGGCTCACCACGTCCCCACATCCTCTGCAGAACGGGGTTTGAGGAGGACAAGGACTTTCCAGTCGTCCTCAACTCAGTGATAGCAGGGCGATACTACGTGACAGAGTACCTGGGGGCAGCGGCGTTCAGCAAGGCCATTCAGGCGCACGACCTGCACACGGGCATGGACGTGTGCATGAAGATCATCAAGAACAACAAGGACTTCTTTGATCAAAGTCTCGACGAGATCAAGCTGCTCAAGTTCATTAATCAGCGTGATCCCGCGGACGAGCACTGTCTGCTGCGGATGTATGACTACTTCTACCACCGGGTGAGTGAAGGAGTGCGTGCGTGTGTGCGTGCGTGCGTGTGTGTGTGTGTGTGTGTGCGCGCGCGCGCGTGTGTGTGTGTGTGTGCGCGCGCGCGCGCGCGCGTGTGTGTGTGTGTGTGTGTGTGTGTGTGTGTCTGTGTGTGTATGTGTGTGTGTGTGTCCGTGTATGCGTGTGTGTGTGTGTGTGTGCGTGTGTGTCCGCGTCTGCGCGTGTGTGTGTTTGTGTTTGTGTGTGTGTGTGTCTGTGTCCGTGTCTGCGTGTATGTGTGTGTGTCTGTGTCCGTGTCTGCGTGTGTGTGTGTGTGTGTGAGGAATGGCAGCGGGGAAGCGGGAAGGCGAGGGTGGGCTTGTGTGGATGGGCGTGTGCATGGGTTGGTGCCCCTCTAGGGCATCAGTCCATCAGCAGAGCCAATTCATCGCTTCATTCTGAACACTGTCTCAAAATCTTTTCATTCCCTTCCCCCTCCCCTCCCCGTCCCCCCGCACTCCCCACCCCCTGCCCTTGCAGGAGCATCTCTTCATCATATGCGAGCTGCTTCGAGCCAACCTCTACGAGTTCCACAAGTACAACCGCGAGTCAGGAGGAGAGGTCTATTTTACCATGCCGCGCATTCAGGTGGGTGAGGGTTTCTGTTGTGGTCTGGTGAGGGGATCCGATGGTTGAGCTGCCACTTGGCTGCCCCTACCCAACCTCTACGAGTTCCACAAGTACAATCGCGAGTCAGGAGGCGAGGTCTATTTTACCATGCATCGCATCCAGGTGAGCAGCTCAGCTTCATTCACTCGCTGGGTCCCATCCACTGCGGCCTGAAGCCCCTACAATCCAGTCAGTCCTCTTAGAATTCTAAAAGAACAGATGCGACCTGAAGCCCCTGCAATCACTTTTGAGAATTCTCAAAAGTGATCTCAACACTTGCTGGGTCTCATCCACTGCGGCCTGAAGCCTGCTCCCCTACAATCCAATCAACCGCATCTTCCATACCTCCTCCTCTCCCTCCTCTCCCTCCCCTCCCCTCCCCTCCCCTCCCCTCCCCTCCTCTCTCAGTCCATCGCCAAGCAGGTTCTCAAGGCCTTATGCTTCATGCACTCTCTTGGTCTCATACACTGCGAACTCAAGCCCGTGAACATCCTCATTAAGAGCTACTCGCGCTGCATGAACCCCATCTCCCTCCCCTCCCCTCCCCTCCCCTCCCCTCCCCTCCCCTCCCCTCTCAGTCCATCGCCAAGCAGATCTTAAAGGCCCTCCGCTTCATGCACTCGTTGGGAATGATACACTGCGAACTCAAGCCCGAGAACATCCTCATTAAGAGCTACTCGCTCCCTGCCCTTCTCCCCGCTCCCTCTCTCCCACCCCAGTCCATCGCCAAGCAGATACTGAAAGCCCTCTCCTTCATGCACTCTCTGGGGCTCATTCACTGCGACCTCAAGCCCGAGAACATCCTCATTAAGAGCTACTCGCGCTGCCTCGTTAAGGTGATCGACATCGGCAGCAGCTGCTTCATGTGGGATGCGCTCTGCTCGTACGTGCAGTCGCGCTCGTACCGGGCGCCTGAAGTCATCCTGGGGCTGCCATACGGGCCCAAGATCGATGTGTGGTCGCTGGGATGCATTCTCGCTGAGCTCTGCTCGGGACAGGTGAGGGGGAGGGAGGGAGTGGGAGGGGAGAGGTAGGGAGGGAGGGAGGGAGGGAGGGAGGGAGGGAGATTGAGGGGTGATAGCAGGAAGTAAGGATTTGGGGGGGGAGGGGGGAGGGGAAATCAGCTGCTCTGCTATGGGACGCGCTCTGCTCTGCTTGTACATGCAGTCAGGTTCCACCCACGTGCGGAGGTCATCTTGGGAGGACCGTGACCGCAGTCATATATGCCTACCGACTCTCCTGCAGTCCCACCCTCCACTCCCTTTCCATCGCTCCCTATGTCTTTCCATCGCTCCCTATGTCTTTCCATCACCCCCTTTTTGAGAATTCTCAAAAAACATCTCCTGCAATCCCACCCTCCACCCCCTTTCCATCGCTCTCCATCAGGTGCTGTTTCAGAATGACTCGCTGGCAACGCTGCTGGCGCGCATGGTGGGCATCATAGGCCCCATCGACCCCACTCTGCTGCGCAGAGCCAAGGACGCGCACAAGTACTTCACACGGCACAGAGTGCTGTATGAGCGGAACCTGGTGAGTACGAGGTCGTCATGGGAGTTGTCCGTACCAGGTTTGCGCATGGTGGGCATTTGCGGTTCATGCTCTGTGAATTTTACTTTTGAGAATTCTCAAGAGTAAAATCCACATTTGCGGTTCATGCTCTCCTGCGCGGAGCCAAGGACGCCCACAAGTACTTCACACGGCACCGCGTGCTCTATGAGAGGAACCCGGTATGTTGATATTCATGGGAGTTGTCCATGCTTAGTTGGTGCAGAGCCAAGGACGCCCACAACTGCACACCAGGTGTGCAGATGGTGGGCATTAGTTGTTCATGCTCTCCTGCGCACAGCCAAGGACGCCCACAACTGCACACCAGGTGTGCAGATGGTGGGCATTGGTTGTTCATGCTCTCCTGCGCACAGCCAAGGACGCCCACAACTGCACACCAGGTGTGCAGATGGTGGGCATTAGTTGTTCATGCTCTCCTGCGCACAGCCAAGGACGCCCACAACTGCACGCCAGGTGTGCAGATGGTGGGCATTGGTTGTTCATGCTCTCCTGCGCACAGCCAAGGACGCCCACAACTGCACTCCAGGTGTGCAGATGGTGGGCATTGGTTGTTCATGCTCTCCTGCGCAGAGCCAAGGACGCCCACAACTGCACACCAGGTGTGCAGATGGTGGGCATTGGTTGTTCATGCTCTCCTGCGCACAGCCAAGGACGCCCACAACTGCACACCAGGTGTGCAGATGGTGGGCATTGGTTGTTCATGCTCTCCTGCGCACAGCCAAGGACGCCCACAACGGCATCGCGTGCTGTATGCCCACAACGGCATCGCGTGCTGTATGCCCACAACGGCATCGCGTGCTGTATGAGCGCAATGGCATCGCGTGCTGTATGAGCGCAACAGCACTGCGTGCTGTATGAGCGGAACCCGGTGAGCTGAGTGGTGTGGATAGGGCGGAAGGGTTGTTTGTTTGTCCTGTGTGTATGGTGGCTTGCACGTCATAGGGCCCATAAGCTCCACTCTGCTCCGCAGGGCCAAGGACGCCCACAAATACTTCACACGCCACTGTGTGCTTTATGACCACCGCTTTCTGTACGACAACCACATGCTGTATGAGAGGAAGTCGGTGAGCTGACACTGATGAGTGTTCAATGGATGTGGTGTGGTTACAGCAGGGGGTGTAGTTGTGAAGTGGTCCCTTGGTCCATATCCAACTTCCCTTGATCCTCCACCTTCCCTGTCCTTCCTGCTTCCACAGGAGACGGATGCATTGGAGTATTTGATTCCTAAGAGGACGTCTCTCAAGCACCGGCTGCCCATGGGAGATGAGGGCTTCCTGGAGTTTGTGGCGTTCCTGCTACAGGTGGACCCTGATAAAAGACCAACAGCTGATGAAGCTCTTCTACACCCATGGATGTCGCATGAATACGATCCTATCACATGAATTGAAGCTGGGAATGCGGTTGAGGTTGGAACACAAGGGACAATGAGATGAAACTCTAATAGCACCTCAAACTCTTTGAATATGATAAGTTGAGGCCATTACCTCAACTCTATAATGGACAACAATCTAAAAGCTGGCTCTCCAAATAAATTTGTGTGTGGGACAAAGCCGCCCTGCTGTGCATACCAGATTTTGTATTGTTGTGTTTCAATCGTGTAAATGGTTTGGTTAAAAATCACGTGTATGGGTTGGATTCAGGCACAGTGTATTAACTTACCAGCTTTCACCTCACCTCGTTCAAACATTCGGTTTTTTGGCGCGGCGACGTGGCGGAACCTCGCGTCATGCGGAGACCCTGGGAAGCAAAAAGTTCAGGCTCGGCATTTCCAGGGTGATTCCGCGCGCCCATTCTGCCAGTCCGCGCGGGCTGGGGGAAGTTGAACAGTGCGGAGCGGAACGGAGCCGAGCGGACCCACCCAAACCCGCGCGTTTCTTCCCCCCTCTCGAGCCACTCGAGTCTCCGCTTGTTCAGCTCTCGAATTGATCAACGCATCAGATCCAAAACCTGTTCTTTTTCCTTTCTTTCATTTTCCTGTCCTAATCTCTCGGGCTCCACTTGGTTTTCCTCCTCTTTTCTTAGGTTCAACTGCTTGGATGGCTTGATCCGTTTGGCTGCAACTCGCGATTGGGTGCTGATGAGTGCGAGAAGCGGATGAGGAGGTTAGATTTGATCCCTGATCACAGATGCCCTAAACTTGTTGATCGGTTGTTCTTAACTTGGTAACTGACAGGCGTGCTCTTATCGTGAATCAGACGGTCGTGCGTGCTGAGCGATGGCTTCGTCGCACGCCACAGAATTCGCATTCCCGACCAGCTTTGCGAACAATGCGACGTTCCGTGCGACAGATTCCTCAGGGCATCTCTTTGATAGAGCGCCAACGCCTTACGGCGCAGATGGAACAGGCGGAACAGGCGGAAAGCTCGGTAGATCCAGGCGATATGGAGTGCGAGCCGACACGCCGTACAGCCGGCCGGCAACGGGAAGACACGCCGCTGCCGGCCAACTAGCCGCCGCAGCTGCTACAGCCGCTGCTACAGCTTCCGCTGGTGCTGCTCCAACGGGAGGCAAAGTCGGAGGATCGCAAAAGAAGGGTTGGCTGGGAGGAATTGGTGGCGCGGTGCTGAATATGATTGGCTGGCGACGGAGTGGCGATCAGGCGAGCGACGCTGCCCGCGGTAACGCAAGTACGGTGATCTCAGCCGTCCATTGCAAAATCGCCGCGCATTCTACCGCTGTTGTGTCGTTTAAACCGCAAAGCTTATGTTTCTCCTGGTCGAAACCCTAATCTGTTTATCTTTCGTCAGGTAACGCAGCTGGAACGTATTTCTGCCTTCCGCCCTGACGAAACCCTGATTTGCTATATTTCCGCCTGCCGGCCGCCTTGTGATGCCCTCGCCTTACCTCGACGAAACCCTTACATCGGGCCGCAAAATTTATCGCTGTCAACGTGCATTGCAACCTTCACTTACGCCAGCGAACGCGCCTCATCCTCCCGTCCTCTCTCTCTGCCTTCTTCCCTCGTGCGTTCTCGGCACTTTCGTTTGGTAAGGGCGAGAGGAGGAGGAGCCTGCACGCGGAGGCGAGGACGACAAGGTAGAGCTCAGCCTGGCCGACGGCGTCGCGGCTGGTGCTGGCGATCCGCCTCCAGGTGGAAGGTCCCTATCCATGTGAGTACACTGGATTATGTGATTGTTTGTGTAAGTCTGCTGGGTGACGTTGTGGCTGTGCTTCCAAAGCTGGTTTATGTCGACGCGTTGACTGCGTTGACCGCAATCGACGTCAGTCCATTAGCGGGTTTGTGTCATGTGTGAGTTTTGTGCGTCTGTTTTGCGAGAACGGCGTGTGTTTTTTTCGTGATTGTTTGTGTATGTTATTGCGCATGTGTGTGCGCGTCTGCGCGTGTGCATGCGCGCGCGCGCGTGTGTGTGTGTGATATGCGTGCGTGCGCGTGTGTGTGTCGCATGCAGGCGAGAGTACGTGCGTCTGTCGCAAATGCTGCGCGCCCAGGTGGTCGATGACACCGACGCCCCTCCCTCCACCGCCGCACAACGCACTGACGCCCCTTTTACCTCCTCCACACCGTTCCAAACGCCTGCTGTCGCACCAACGCCCTTCCACACACCAGCTGTTGCAGCAACTCCCTTCCACACCCCTGGCGGTTTCAAACCCGCTTCTGGCGGCTCAACACCCACTTCCAACGGCTTGAAATCTACGCCGTTTCACACCCCTGGCACGGCGGCAGCAGCAGCAGCGCCTGCCACGCCGTTCTTTGACGCAGCACACACCTTCGCCGCTCCTTCCAAAGGCTCTGATAGGATGGTGGCGCCAGGGAGGGGATTTGTTGGTAGGGGGTCTGCTGGGAAAGGGTTGACTGGCGGAGATCCGGGATCTAGATTCGCCACGCCGGTTACCAGTGGTTGGGCGTCGCCTGCTGACGTGGATGGCGGTGATGCTGACGGGGACGAGGACGAGGAGTTTCACACTCCAGATGTAAGAATCTGGTGGCAAAGGGAGTTTGGATGAGAAGGAATTGAAGGAGGAAGGTACAAGGGAAAGGGAAGGGGGAAGAGGCCAGGGGGGAAGGGTGGTTCGCTCTCGTTGAAGTGCTCCCTACCTGTTCCGTCTGTAGCTTTCTCCTCGGTCCAATTTTCCTGCGCCGCTTTCATTCCACCTGCTCGTGTCCCGCACTGCGCCTTCCATTTCCCTCCCCTCCCCTCCCACACCACCCCTTCCCCCTTTTCCCGCTCCGCCCCCTTGTGTCCCGCCACCCCAAGGGCGGGACATTGCCTGTGGGTGGAAAGGGTGGTGGGCCCACATCCCTTTCCACCCCTCCCCTCTCTTACCACGCTTTCCCACCCCTTTCCCCCCCTCCCCCTTCTTCTCCCCCTTCTTCTCCCCCTTCTTCTCCCCTCCGCTCCACCCCTTGTCTCCGCGACTATTTAAGGGCGGGGCTTCGCCAGTGGATATTGCCAAGGCGTACATGAGAGGCGGCCTCCGCGCTGTTTCCGCCGCCGCTGCCGCTGCTATTGCTGGCAGTGCTGCTGGCGGTACCCCTTCTGCTGCTGATAATGATTATGATGCTGATCCGTCTCCTGGGCGCGAGGGCGCGGAGGGGAGGGCGAGCGGGTGGGGGGAGATGGTGGTGGTGGTGGGGTCGCGACGGCCCTCTGATTCTGTTTTGGGGAACGCGTGGGGGCAGCAGGCGCAGCCGCAGCTGCAGGATGGGGAGGAGGAGGAGGAGGAGCAGGAGGAGAGGCAGGAGCAGGAGAGGGACGAACAGGAGAGGGAGGAAGAGGAAGAGGAGGAAGGCGGGCAAGAGGGGGAGGATGATGGGTGGGGAAGGGAGAGGGGGAATGAGAGGGAGGATGGTAACGGGGAGTTGGTGCGAGCTGTGTTCCCAGGCGCTGCTGCTGCTGCTCGCAGCCGTCATGGTGCTGCCACGCCAAAGGTAGGTTGTGGATGGGCGAATTGAATGGGTGCTGCTGCAATACAGAGACGGCTCGTAGCATCTGCTGATACTGGTTTTTTAGAATTCTCAAAAAGCGCATTTGCTGGTTCATTTCCATCGCTTTCCTTTCCTTCTGTCTGTTGAAGTCTCTTTTTAATGCTTCTCCTCCCCTCTGCCCCGCCCCCCTTCTGCCTCCTTATCCCCCCCTCTGCCTGTCAGTCTGCCAAGCGAGCTCGCGACAGTGACGAGGCAGATGCTGATTGGCTAAGGGGATCCGAGTCAGCACGACGCACTCGCCCGCGTGCCTCCCACCAGCCCAGTCGCCTTGCCCTAGTATCCTTCCCCCCTAGCCCCACCTCCTTCCCCGGTCCTATCACAAGGCATTCAGCTTCCGTCTTGGGGGTTTTAGCTGCCCCTCCCCTCCCTCCTCCTGCGCTCTTTTCTGCTGGGGCTGGAAGTTTTCTCCCCTCTGCCCGTCTCCGTGGGCAGGCTGCCCGTTCCCACGCGTTTGCCTCTCGCAATAGCAGCAGCGGGCCGCGTCTGCTGCCCGGGGAGCTGCCCGGGTTTTCTCTGGGCGCTAGGAAGGGCGCGTGGGATAGGGCGTTTGAAGGAGTAGGAGACGCGAAAGGGCTGTTTCCTGAGAGGGATACGTTTGGGCTGTTCGGGCGAAAGGGGTCAGGCAGAGAGGGGAATAGGCGGTTAGAACAAGACCGGCGCCAACAGGGTCTGGAGCAGGGGCAGAGGCAGGGGCGAGAGGGGCAGCAGCGGGCAGGGCAAAATGTGCTGTCTGGCAGGTCCTTAGAGACAGCTCAGAAAATCCTTGCCAAGCTGCAAGATATTACAGGCACGGGGGCGCAGGGGGAGATGGGTGCAGGCGAAGGTGAGGGGCGCGGAGGCATGGGGGGAAGCGGAGGGGGGAACAGGGTTGGTGGTGGTGCTGGCGGGGATAGGGGTTTGGGTGGTTTTGATGGGGCGAGCGGGGATAGGGATGGGTTTGGTGGGTTTCGTGGGGATGGGGGCGGGTTTGGCGACAGGGGCGTGGATGGCTGGAAGAGATTGCTGGGCGCAAGTTCCAGGCTCGGCGACCGGTTTGGGACAGGTGCGGGTTCAGGTATGAGTGCAGGTTTGGGTGCAGGTTCGAGCTCGGGGCGGGTGGGCAGGCGGGGGGAGGGGGACGATATAGTTGCCCCGCCCTTGACGTTCCTCCCCACTTACATGAGTAAAAGAGCTGCTGGTGACCTCCCTCCCGCGCACCCTGCCCCAGGTGGTTCTTCAGGTGGTTTCTCAGGTGCGGATGTGAATGTTGCGGGTGTGCCTGCTGCTGCTGCTGGTGTGAGTGCTGCAGGTTTAGGAACTAGTGGTGGGGTGGAGTGGATGGGGCAGAAGGGGAAAGAGAAAGAGGTGGTTGCAGAGGAGGGCAGGGAGAAGGGAGGGTACAGAGGAGGAGCAGACGCACAGAATGGCGTTGCGCCAGCACCTGCTGCTGCTGCTGATTCTTCTGCTGGTTTTGGTGCGCCTGCTGCTGGTTTTGGTACTGCCCCCTTTGGTGGGGGAACTGCTTGTAGTAGCGCTGTTGCTGCTGCTCATGCTCCTGCTGCGGCTTCGAAGCCTGGATTCTCTTGGGCTGCAGGAACGGGCACAGGGTCTGGAGCAGGTATGGGATCGGGTTCGGTCTGGGGCGTGGGGGGGACAGGTGCTGCTGGCGGTGCAAGCACTGGGGTTGGTGAGGGGACGGGAGGGGGCAGGACGGCAGGGGCAGAGAGAGAGCAGGTAACGGTGAATGAGAATCAAGCAGAGGGGAAGCTAGCAGCCGCAGGGGCAGGTTCAGGTTCAGGTTCAGGTTCAGGTTCAGGTGCAGGTGCAGGGGCAGGTGCAGGTGTCACCACTATGACTAGAGGAGAAGAGGAGAAGAAACCTTATGCCACGTCATCTGACCAGCCGACCATTGTTATTCAGCCACGTGGATCCCCTGGATCCACGTCAGCAGGAGCAGGTGCTGATTCGGGTGCAGGGACTACTGGGGGTTTCTCGTTCCATGGCACTGGAGCAGCCCCAGGAGGCTCGGCGTTCCCGTCTGCAGGTTTGGCAACCCCGAAGCTGTTTGGTTCGGGCAGCTTTTCCAAGTCCCAGGCCTCTCCACCTGGAGCTGCTTCGGGCGAGAAAAAGAGTGCAGGGACCGCCGAGCCTAAATTCAGCTTTGGCAGCAGGCCAGGCTCGGCATCAGTTCTGGATTTCAGTCAAGTGGTTGGAAAGACAGCAGCAGCAGAAGCAGAAGTAGCAGCAGCATCAGCAGATGTTGCAAAGTTTGGATTCCGCTCGTCAGCACTGTCCTTCAGGTGTGTATTTTTTGGTACTATTGATCCCAGTTCCCGTTTTCTGTATGTGTTCCAGATAGTATTTGGGTTGTTCCAGTTCAGCAGTTTGGATCGTTTTCTGGTCTTTTTTGTTGCCGAAGATTGCTAGGTTGCTTTCATTACTCTCCCACATAAATCCACTCCTCCTGCCGTTCCCCTCTTTCCCACCAAACAGCAAGGCGGTGTCTTCACAATCGCACACCATGAAGCCACGCTCTCCTGCTGTTGCAATTTCTGCTGCTGCTGGTGCTGCTGCTGCTCCTGCTGCTGCTGTCGCTGCAATTGCCGCCGCCGGCGCTACTGCTGCTGCCACAGCGTTTCAAGCCCCCTCCTCCCCGCCCTCCCCACTCACTCCTGTCGCTTTCTCATTCGGATCCCCCGCTGCCACTGCCGGTGCTAATGCCACCGCTAGCGCTGCTGCTGGCCCTTTTGCTGCTGGTGCGAAGGCACAAGTCCCCAAGGCCCTTTTTGCCACGTCCTCTCCCTTCTCATCGTCTGTGGCTCCTAGCTTTGGCAGTGGGAAAGGTTCCACTGATGCTCGAACAGGTGTAGGCACGGGATTCGGCACAGGAACGGGAACAGGCACGGGAACAGGAACGGGGGTATCAGGTTCGGAGGGGACGAAAGCGGCGGGTGCTGCTCCGGTGTTTGCTTTTGGTGCCTCTGCCACACCTGCCACCGCACCAGCCAAGAGCGGCTTCACGTTTGGTGCTTCTGCCACTCCTGCCACTGCACCACCTAAGAGTGGATTCGCCTTTGGCGCTGCTCCTGCTGCTCCAGTTTTCGGATCGGCCACTCCTGCTGCTCCAGTTTTCGGATCGGCCGGCCCTGCTAATGCAAATGCTGCTGCTGCTGCAGGCACTACAGCTTCTTCGTTCACAGCGTCACCGTTTCCCTCTGGAGGGAGGGGCGGTGCGGGAGTATCAGATGCGAAGGGGGATGGTGTAGAGGCTGGAGCAGGCGGAGGGGATGGGGAAGCCGATGAGGGAAGTGAACGACTGCAGTCTGACAGGCCAAAGAAGCGAGGTGGTGGTGGTGGTGGTGGTGGTGGTGGTGTGTCTGAATGGAAAGCTACTGGTAGCCCTTTTGCTACTGCTGATGGTGATGGTGGTGTGTTCCCTAACCCGTTTGTTAAGCGGCCATCCACCACACCAGCTGAGAATGAGAAGCCTGACAAGCCGGGATCTGCCTCCCCTTCCTCCTCCGCTTTTGCTCCGTCCTCCTCCCCGTTCTCGTCTTCTCCTTTTAAATTTGGGGCATCACCAGGTGCAGCAACAGGAGCAGCAGCGGCAGCAGCAGCAGCAGCAGCAGTAGCAGTAGCAGCAGCAGGCACTGCGTCTGCTCCCGTGTTCTCGTTTGGCTCTGCCTCTCCCTCCGCTGCTGCTGCTCCATCCTCATCTGCACCAGCCCCCAACTCCTCCCCATCTCCCTCAACGCCTTCATTGTTCTTTGGCACCACTTCAGCCACAGCAGCAAGTGGTACCACCTCACCTGCAGCAACAGGCGGTTCAAAATCAGCAGCAGCCGCTGCACCAGCGGCAGCAGCAGTCTCTGCTCCTGTCTTCTCCTTTGGTGCTGCCCGCTCCTCCTCCTCCCCCTCTGCCTTGTCCTCTCCAACCCCCACGCCCTCCTCCACACCAGCTTCCACCACTCAGTTCTCCCCTCCAAACCTCGCCACCGCTTTCGCTCCCCCGGCAGCCTCCTCTTCTCCTATCTTCTCCTTTGGCTCTAAAAGCCCTTCCGCTGCTGCTGCATCATCCCCTGCTGCTGGCTCATCTGCTGCTGCTGCCTCATCCCCTGCTGCTGGCTCATCCGCTGTTGCTGCCTCAACCCCTGCTGCTGGCTCATCTCCTGCTGCTGCCTCATCCGCTGCAGCTGCTGGTTTGACCCCTGCTGCTGCGCTGCTCTTCTCATTTGGTGTTGCTGCTCCATCCACGCCGCAATTCTCTTTTGGCAAGCCGGCAGGTTCAACTGCTTCTCCAACTGCAACCCCCGTGTTCTCCTTTGCTGCTGCTGCCTCACCTGTTGCTGCTGCCTCACCTGCTGCTGCTGCTGAAGGTGCCAGCAAGGGCGTGTTTACATTTGGAGGGCCAGCAGCAAACGGCGTCACGGCGTCATCGCTTCCAACTTTCAGTTTTGGTGCTTCGGCTACAGCAACAGCAGCAGCAGCAACAACAACAGCAGCAGCTTCGGGTGCTCCTCTATTTGGGGGTTTCACCCCTCCCCCTGCTGCAACTGGTTCTGCGGCTAACGCTGATGGTACTGGTGAGAATGGTAATGGTGGTACTGGTAACGGTGGTCAGATAGACGATAATGAAAATAAGACTTCAGTTGCGGTTAATGCTGCTGCTGCTCCTGTATCCGCTTCGCCGTTTGGGGGGGTTGGTGCGGTTGGGAATGGTGGGGCGTTCCGGGGGACGCCTGGAGGGTTTTCACTGGGTGCAGGGGGGGATGCAGGGGAGAAGGCACCGGCAGGTTCGAATATTGCCGGGAGAAGAATTGTGAGGGCGAAACGACCACTGGCGAGGCGAAAATAGAGGGTGGGAGAGTGCGACACAATTACGGTATATTCTCAATTTTCAGGACCATAGCTTGCATGTTTGTTGAGTATGCTAGCAGGAATTTTTTCCGTGCTCAGATGTTTTCCTACATTAATTTGCTTCAATGCGACTGTTGAAACTTCTAGCTTCAACGCTTTTTAGCTGTCCCGTATATTCGCTTGTTTGTGGTTACTTTCTTCTTCAAATCCGGTTTCACTGTGCGTACAATCTCGTTTTGATTGGGCTAGGTTGTAGCGGAGATGAGCTTCTCCCCCGCTGGTCACCAAAAAGCCCCTCCTTTGCAGCAGGGAAGGGGGCAAATTCTCGCCGTTGATAACAAAACCCTATTTCTGTTTGATTGCTTCCTCAGTCACTTCCCCGCACAACCAGCTTTTCTTAGCCCCAATTTCCACAGCAGCGTTACTTCCGCACTCGCACGCTGCAGTAAGCACGTCCGGCGAGCTTCCGGGTTATTTTGTTTGCGGGGAAGAAGAATACGACGACATTTTTTTAGCAGGAGTGGTTATTACTAGAAGATACTTTGTAAGAGAGACTTTCAGCAGATTCAGAATGGCGAAGAAGGACGAGAAGACTCCGAAGAAGAGTAAGAGCGAGGCGGCGGGCGAGGAGGTCGAGAAGACGCCGAAACGGAAAAAGAGCGACGCGACAGCGACGGAAGCGGCGGCGGCGAGCGGCGGCGAACGATCGACGAAGAAGAAAAAGTCGGACGCCGCCGCGAGCGACGGCGCGACGCCGAAGAAATTGAAGAAGAAGGAGAAGGAGGGGGGCGACAAGGGGGGTAAAGTTGAGAAGGACGAGGCGGCGGCGGCGGCGGAGGCGCTCAAGTGGCGGAACGTGTGCGCCATCGCGAAGCCGCTGGCGGACCCGCCGTTCAACCAGAAAGTGCTACAGCTCGTTAAAAAAGGTGTGCGCCGTGTGCGCGCCGTGCGTCGTGCGCCCCTCCGTGCGCGCGTGAGCGCCGTGCTTGCCCAGTGTGCCATAAACCCTGTCGCCGGGTGGCATATGCGCAACCATGCGTCGCCGATATTGAATGCCTCGATTTTCGCAAATGTTTCCGCTACCGGACACTCATCAGCCGCTGTGCATTATCCCGTCGTAACCGTGCCATTGTGCCCTGAACGCTGCTCGTCCAGCTATGAGGAGGCCCCGACTTTACACTTCACCTCATGAGGAATTTCCGCTCTAAACACCTCTCAATACCTTTCCGCGCAAGGACACGCCCTCCCCGTGTGCCGTCTCCCTGTGTGTCCCAAATGCAGCTGTTTACACCAACTCACCCTCCGCCACCGCCCTCCCCCTCGTTGCCCCCCACCACATCCCTCAAAAATAAGCGTCAACGACGGACGCGCTCGTGCGGCGCTCAGGGACGCCCTCCCCGTGTGCCGTCTCCCTGTGTGTTCCAAATGCAGCTGCGTCCACCAACTTCCCACTCACCCTCCCCCACCGCCCTCCCTCTCCCAATTCCCCTCTGCCCGGCCCGCCTGTGCGCCCCATTCCCTCCCTCTCCCCATTCTTCTCTGCCCTCCCCCCTGTGCGCCCCACCCCCACCGTCTCCCCGTCCCTCCTTTCTTCGTGTGGCCGCGTGGCTGCTTGGTGCGAGCAGCGGCGAAGCACAAGGGGTACCTGCGGCGAGGCGTGAAGGAGGTCGCCAAGGCCGTGCGCAAGGGCGAGAAGGGGTGAGTTCTAGGAAGGGGGGGTGGATAGGGGAAAGGGGGGGGGGTAGGTGGGAGGAAATGGGAAGGGGGTGGCGAGGAATGAAGGAGGTCGCTAAGGCCGTGCGCAAGGGCGAGGGGTGCGTCCCAGGAAGGAGTGGGGGGGAGGGAAGGGGAAGGGGGGGGGAGAGGGGGGGGGGGGGGGTGGTCGAGGAGCAAACGGGGAAGGGGGAAGAGGGGAAGAGGAAGTGGTGGGGCGGGAGGGATTCAAGGGTTGGGGTTGGTTGTATGCAACCGGGGGAATGGGCGCTCATGTTGCAATCACCACCATCGCTCCGCTCGTCCCCTTGCGCACGGCCTTAGCGACCCTCCGCTCCTCCCCTCACCGATTGTTTCACATTTCCAAACCACTGTTTGGTCGTGTTGTTTCCTCATGAGGCTTGCATTTGTATCCTCTCAACTTAGCATCAACCCTTGCTGCTTGTTTCCACCCTTTTGCTGCATCGCTATACAGTGTGTGTATGTTCCGAGGGGATGTTACCCCAAGTGTCAACTTAAGTTATTTCTGTTTTTACCCTTTTGTGGCTTCTCCATACAGTGTGTGTGTGTTGGGAGGAGACGTGTCACCCATCGATGTCATCTCACATCTCCCCATCGTGTGCGAAGAGGCCAACATTCCCTACACCTACGTGCCCAGCCGTGCGGTATGTGTAACCCTCTTACCTCTTTTCCTGTATAACCTTGTTATCTGTATTCCTGTTACTTCTATTCTAATTTTACTTCTATTCTTGTTACTTCTGACCCTGGTTCCTGTAACCTTGTTGCCACTGTTTTTGTTACCTAATTGTGCTTTTAATTCTGTTACCTGTAATCCTGTTCTCTATGCCTGAGATCTTGTTTCCTCTATCCCTGTTGCTGTGTATCTGTTGAGCCAAGGGCCGTTGTCCCATCCAATTCCCCTTCCCTCACCTCCTCTATTGCTTACCCCTTCCACCATCTCCCTTCTGGAAACTTGTCTCTCGGGTTCCTTTCCTGTGTGCTCCGTGTGTCAGGACTTGGGTAATGCTGCCATCACAAAGCGGCCCACTAGTGTAGTCTTGGTCTTACCGACGGCCTCAAAGGGGAAGGCTGGAGAAGTGGAGGAAGGGTTTTTGGAGGAGTTCAAAGCGGTGCAGGGTGAATGTCAAGAGAGGCTTAACAAATGGCTCCAAGAGAAATGACAAGTGTATTGCCATACTTCTGCACCCCTGTTTTCATTCCGTGCTTTTTTTTTTAGTGCCTTGTGCAATTAATCAGCTTCTAGAAAAAGTGGGGTGGAGTCAATTACATTTTATCTTGGCATATGTTTGTCGTGCGCACGCTTCGATATATGACAGCAAAAGCGTGTATGTAGTATGTTGACAGATTTCAATCCCATGTGGGGACAGCCCGAAAAATGCCTCGTGGTTGTTGTGGCGGCACGCAAAAATGTTTGCTGATGAGCTCGAGAAATCGACATTTATGAAGGTAGGGCTCCAGGAAGCTTCATATGACGCAAGCTGGCGTCAAACATGCCGCTGACTTGCAATGTAGGTTGCAACTCTACAGTTACTCTCCTAAAAATACGCGTAAACTCTTCGTCCGGTTCAGTGATGCGACACGTCTTCATTTTTTGCTCGTGAATTTTGCACTGCAGTATTTGTATCATCCGTCACCGTGACCCGTCCATGCCTGCAGTGCCAGTGATGGCGTTTTTTTATTCAAGCCCCAAACCACAAGGGAACGCGGTTTCTTTTCTTCAACGTTTCTCCTTTTCCTCTTTACTTCCTCCTGCTCAAGCAAGCAGTGCTGCTCTTGCGTGCCTGTTGCTTGATCTCGCAACAGGCACGCAAGGAAGGCAGCCTTCCAACCAATCCCAACAAGCTCCTTTTTTCGAAGACCTCGTTTTGAAACCGTCTTGTCTTGGACTGGACTTCCCCCGCGTTCATGCCTTTCCTCGAAGCCAGGATTGTCTCATACAGTCCGTTTACGCTCATCCTCCTCACTTCACCGATTCATCGCAATGGAGGAAAATTCACATGCCTTAGCTTTTGCCAGAGTCGCTGTCTTATGCGTCTCAAAGCACGTGCGAGTGAGCTTACACGATGCGACATGCTGTAACGGCTTAGATCAGGTCCGAAGTTCCGAACCAACCCATAGAGTGGTGTACGGTACGGCACTTTACCTTTGTCTTTACCGACAGAGAAAACGGTTTTGCCATTTCTGCAGACCTCTGAGCAGGAAGTTCGGCCCTGGGATGGGATGGCATGCGAATTGCATTGTAGTAGCTATCGGTTTCCCCCGGGAATCCCGCGGGCATTATGGTCCGCATACTGCGCCGATAATCGTCCATGTCCACGATCATTCGTTACAAGTGCAGTATACACGTACGAGGAAACGAACGTACGCACACGTTTTCGTGGTGATTGGATCATTGGAACACCGCCGGGCTGACGACAACTTGATGATGAATTTGCATTTGACAGCAATCGTAGATGATCTCTTCTCACGGAGAAAGAGCCTTCCGAGAACCTTCCGCCCGCATTAATCTCTTCTTCCGCTTGATTGGCGCAATCAAATCACATCAGACTCGTCTCTCAACCAAGCTGTGCTCGGCACGACAAGTGAGGGAGGCTAGACATACAGTACTGTGCTCCACAATCGGTACACATGTGAGTTTCACCTTTGTCATCGCGCCTCGCCCCGTGTATCGCTGAATTCAGAAACTCCGATCCGAACCAGGCCTAGTTTTGTCCCAGGAGAGGCACCGTCACGTGCGTCGGCTGGACCATTTCGCACTCCCAAGGGGGCGTTTCGGTCAAGTTAGAGCTAGAATCCTTCACTCGGCGATGGCAGATGGCGCGGCGCGTGAGAGCAGGCGGGTTGAGATGTGGTAGTTGCACATGAGGCGCAGCTGAGTGGTGTTACGCTAGCTGAGTGACCTGACACAGTCAGCTATATTCGCGTGGTGGCACCAATATATTAGTCACGCTACTAGAAGCACGGTCGCCACCACACGCATTCCTTCTGGCCTCCGTACACCTCGGACTCCGAGGAGGTCGGAGGTCTCTATCCGCGGTCGTACTTCTAAGCCGCCGCGACGGCAATAGCGCATTCGAAGGCACCGCAACTGACAGTCGTCGTCTAATCCTGGAAGCGCAAATGGACCGGGAGAATAGCCGCCTCGAGAATGCCGACGAGGCGGGGGGTCTACTGGCGACGGACTTGGCCCTCACGCTGACGCCGCATGTCGGCGCTTCCAGAAGGGGAGACGCCGCCGCGCGAGACGCTGACAAAGCGGTGCTTTCCCGAAGCGCGTCAAACGCGAGGCCAGCGGCAGAGGCGGCGCAGCTGGAGAGGTTCCCCACGTCGAGCAGCCGAACGCGCAGCCCGCCCGCAAACCTCGGAGGTTCCGTCGTGGCCAGTTTGGGAATGTCCCTGGATAGTACCAACCGCCCTGCCAAAGCTCCCCCCGAGGCTCTTCAACAGGTTCGGCAGCAGCAGCAGCAGCAGCAGCACCCAGAGCATCTACAGGAGCACCAGCTACAAGAACTTCTGTTCCGCTCGCGGCCGTTTTCCCCGTCTCTGGCGCAGCCAGCAGGCCGATTCTCGGCAGTGCAGCCAAACGATGTGTTTTTCAGTCGTGGCGCAACAACTGCTCCTGATAGCGCAGTTACCCCACCGACGCGACCGCCGCATTTTTTTGCCACTCCAAGCGGAGCTCGAGCTCCCTTTTCGGCGTCGCCCGATTCGCAGGGCGGCTCCAACGTTCCGCCAGCGCCGCCTCCAACGGCGCCGTTGACGTACGATGCAGCAACGGTGGTGGTGGATTCCGTTGCGCAGTTTCTCCGCAGCCTCGGCGCGCTTGCACCTTCCGCCCTTCCTGGAGCTCCCCCTGCGACTACCGCACCGTTCTCCGCGCCCCCTCTTCCCCTTGCCAGAGCATCCGCTCCCGCGGCTCCTTCCGCTCCGCTCGCTCCCCCAACATCAGCACCTACCGCTTCCGCTTCCGTTTCATCCGCCGACGCGAGCGCGGGGTCCGCATCGGAGCTTGCGCTGGCGCGCCTTTTGGTAGCGCCAGGCGGAAATGCAGGGGGGCAGGAAAACCTCGCGCTGCTTGCGCGGCTCTGGGGCGCGGCAGGACCTGTCGCAGCGGCACTGGCGCAAAGTAGGAATGCGCAATCGTCACGAGAACGCGGAAATAGCGGCGGTGAACTTGGCATAAGCGCGGAGGGGGAACATTTCGCGCTCGGATTAGGTAGTAGAGAAACGGGGAAAGGAATGGATAACGACGACGGGAAATTGGCGGCAGCGCGACCAGGGGGGGCGAATTATGGAGGCGTAGGGGGGGAAGGAAAACGCGCAAATGCAGATGCTATTGCAGAGACAGAATTTGATCGGTTGAGATCGGTGGGTAGTGCACATCGAGGTGACGAAAGCGGTCGTGACGGGAGTGGGTCACAACAACTACACTCCAGACCAGCGTTACAACAAACGTATCAACGAAATTCGCATGTAGTACAAAATTCGCATGTAGTGCAAAATTCGCATGTAGTGCAAAATTTGCCAGCACCTTCAGGAATCGAGCCTGCAGTTTGGGCTCGGGGACTTGAGTTTCTCAGGAATCATCCTGGACTCGTGGCAGCAGCAGCAGCAGCAGCGGCAGCAACAACTGTGAATGCCGGCCTGCGACCAAGTTATCAGTCACAGATAGAAACTGAAAGATCGGGTGATGTTGAAAAGGAAGTTGGAATTGTATCCGGGAAGGCAGTGGGGAGTGCAGTAGAAGGCAACTGGAGAGGGGAAAGGGTAGGCATGGATGCAGGTAGGGAGGTTAAGACGAGGCTTAAGATGGATGGATTGGAAGGACGGAGAGCAGGGAGGAGGCGGGACACAGAAGGTGTGGCAGCTGTGGGCGAGGCTGTGGGGATAGGTGTGGCAAAGGAGTCAGCAGCAGGCTTGGACCTAGACTTGACGGAGAGGCTCGGTGCAATTCTTGCTGCTGCCTCGGGTCGTGCTGCTGCTGGGTCTGTTGGTGGCAATGCTGGTAACAGTCTGGCTGGAGCTGTCAGAAATGTGGCTGCTACTGCTGCTGCTGGCAATAACTCTGCTGCTGGTGACATCATGGCTGCTACTCCTACTGCTGTTGCTGCCATGCCTCCTGCTCCCGATGTGACTGCTCTTGGATCAGCTCTTGGTGCAACTGCTGCAGGTGTCCGTGCAGGAAAAAGAACGAGAGAGGGGCAGGGATATGGGGAAGACGGGGAAAGAGAACCTAGGGGAGCAGGGGGAGAAGGGGGGAAGGGAGAAAGTGGAGAGCGTGGGGGAGCGGGTGAGAAGGGAGCTGGAGGAGCGGAAGGGGGAGAGGAGGGGGAAGCAGAGTCGGCGGAGGGAGGGGAAGACGGCGAGGGGAGCGGGAACAAGAGAAAGATGCGGCTATCGCAGGAGCAGCAGAGCACAATGGAAGCGGTATTCAGGAAAACCCCGAGGCTCACTCCCAGGGAAAAGAGTGCTCTGGCAGGGCAGCTGGGCGTGCGGGTGAGGCAAGTGGAGGTGTGGTTTCAGAACCGCAGGGCTCGCACCAAGGTGAAGGATACTGAGGTGGAGCTGGACGGCTTGAGGCGGCGCTGCCAGACACTAGCTGACAAAAATCGCCGCCTCAGGGAGAGGCTCGCGGTAAGCTGTTGGGGCCTTGCTGTTTATTTCGTTGTTTCCATGTGAGGGTTTTGACTTGCTTTGGTCAAGAGGTGACTGGTACTGACGTTTCTACTGCCCTGTTTTGTTACAGGTGCAGCAAACACAGCAGCAACAGCAACAAGCAGGGCAAGAGCAGCAACAACAGCAGCAGCACGAGAACAAGAATCAACAGGCAAGGGAGCAAGGCGAGCGAGAGAGACGGTTTGGCCCGGGTGTCAGCAGTGAACAGAATATACCAGTAATATGGAAACTTTGCCAATCTTGTGAATCCCCCCAAAAGCCCTCCTTACAAGCACCAGCATCCACAGGCCTGAAGCTGGGAGAAGAACCTGTAGCGGCCACTTGCCTGCAAGACCAGCCCGTACAGCAAGGGGTGGCTACATGGAACAGGCAACAGCAGCTGGGGCAGCAACAGCAGCAGCTGGGGCAGCAACCGCAGCTGGGGCAGCAACAGCAGCAGGGGCAGCAGCAGAAGCTGAAACAACAGCAGCATCCGCTCATGCATAAATTGCAGGAAGCAGTGGAGCAGCGTGTGGGGGTTCAGGCTAGGTCGCTGAGTGATGGCGATGATGAAAGCCAACGAGATAGAGGTGCTGGCTCACCTAGTGGTACATCCCCAGGCTTGTTTCTCAAGCTTTGATTGATGGTAACGAAATTCCCTAGACAGGAACAAAATTAGTAGCTTTTAGGGGGACAGTTTACAAGCTGTCATGGATGCAATGTCACAAGCTCAGATGGGGAGAGATGCACAGATTTACAAACTCTGGTTAAATCTTATGGCGTTGTAATGATTCACAGGCTGAAGGGGAACATTCCCAAAGGCTTTGATAGATCAGGTTCACAAGCATCGGTGGAGACAATTCCACATCACAAGTATTGACCATGAAACAAATCCAGAACCCCACATCATAGATCATGGGCAGGTCCCACATGCTGAGAAAATGAGTCAATCACACAATCTGATAAAAGCATTTGGCTATCTCATCCAAGGGCCTGCTTTGATTATTTCATCCAAGTGGGACCTGCTTCGTAGAAGACGTCGTATTGGAAGTGATCAAATTACAGAAATTGCTACAACAGGAGCAAGGCTATGGGCTTGGGCACAAGCAAAGAATGTAGCGAAGGCACAGTAGCGTCACAGCAGCTGCTACCAATCACTTGGAGTCAGCACTAAGAGGCCTGAATCTTGGGACCCACCAATGTTTGAGTAAGGTGCTTTTGGAAAACGCTTAGTTCACTCCTCCCCGTCAGCCTTCCTTAGCGAACCCAGCTCCACTGGTGCTGATGTGCCCACCACCTTGGATGACGCATATTCTGACGCATCAGTGCCCTTGGCCTTCTCCTTCTCGATTTGTGTCGTGATCCACTTGTACGTGATTGTCAGACCATCCTGTAAAATTGACCAGAAAGCACAGTTAGAGCAGTCCTAGAGAAACCTCACACGTCCTGATCGATTTCCACAGATGAATCGCTAATTCAGGCAAAATCGCTGGGGAGCGGGAAGACAGAAAGGAGAAACTCGGGAGCACAATGGATAAGGGTTCAGTGGAGCGAGCACTCACGATGAGCTTCATGGACGGAGCCCAGCCAAGCTTCTCCCGGATGAGCGTGTTGTCCGAGTTGCGCCCACGCACCCCCTCAGGGCCCGGGATGTGCTTGATGGGGAGATCCTTGTTCTCAATGCTCATCACCATTGCCGCCATGTCGTTCATGCTCACGCACTCGTCACTCCCAATGTTCAACGGCTCCCTAAAATCCGACTTGGTCAGCCTGCAATTGCAAGGGAAAGGCAGAGCTTGTGACAAACGAGCGTGCACACGTGTGGTCTTATTCTGGTACGAAGAGCAAGGCGAGGTCCGAAGCTAAAGGCGATTCAGGGAATGGTAATCCAGACACTATGTGTGTAGACAAGGTAAATCACTGGTTACATCCTTAACATGTTATGCTAGCGGCCAATTAAGTTTTCGAGTGCACGTTGAAGACTACATGAATTACGAGTCTGAGCAAATCTCTTGAGCTAGGTGAAAGCGCAAGGAGAGCTTGACGAGGACATACCTCAGCACGCCTTCCACACACTCGTCGATGAAGGTGAAGGACCTCGTCTGCTTGCCATCGCCCCACATCTCAAAGTGATCCTTGGAAGTCAGCACCTTGCGGCAAAACGCTGCTGGCGCCTTCTCGCGGCCACCTGCATCAGAAATGTATCTTTTGTCAGACCCGATTTTTTCAGGTTTGAAATATAAAGAGAGCAGCCGTGAAGCATAAAGAGTAAATTAAGGGAGAGATCCGCCAATATACAAAGATACGTACCCTTCCATGTGCCGAAGGGTCCGTAGATGTTGTGGAATCGACCGATTCTGCACTCCACGCCGAAGTCCTTGGTGTAGTGCTTGCAGAGTTCCTCAGTCACCAGCTTCTCGAGACCGTACGCGTCTTGGGGCTGCAGAGGGGCAGAGTCTGTGTCAGATCTTGCATATGAACAAGTAACCTCCGCCAAGAAAGCGCCCAATTTGATTCGTTTATATGAAAACTAATCCGATAAACTCACCTCAGCGGGCCAGGCATCTGATTCTTTCAAATTGACGTTGTCGGTCTCAAGTTGACGGAACTCAGGGTAGATGCATGCACTGGAGGCGTAGAAGAAGCTGCAAAATTGACGCCATAAAAACACGTCAGCCTCGTCACGCGTGAAGCTCGTTAAGTTCACAGGAGTATTTCATGTAACTTTAGAAGCCTTACCGAGAAATGCCGTTAATACGAGCAGCCTCAAGCATGTTGAAGCTGATCATGGTGTTGTTGTACAGAATCACGGAGTGATTCGACTGGATGAAACCCATGCCGCCCATGTCAGCAGCCAGGTTGAACACGTGCTCCACTCCCTTGGTGACCTTGAGACAGTTGTCCATGACACGTAGATCGACGAGATGAAACTCGTCGCAGAACATATCCTCGGTCATGTGCTCGTTCCTCTTCCAGTCCGACGCGATCACATAGTGACCCTCCGATTTCAATCGGCGGGCAATGTGCGACCCGATGAAGCCGCCAGCTCCGGTGACGGAGATCCTGAGCTTCTTCTCGGGCCAGTAAGGCTCGCGCTCGAGGTTCACGGCAGTGAAGGAGCCATAGTCGTTAGAAGCGGCCATGACTGCAGAAATTCTGGCGCAAACACCGAAGAAAGATTACTGGAGAGACGGAATGGCTTGACTGAGCAAGCCGAAGCATACAAAGGGAGCTAAGTCTTACGGAACTCGAGCTGAAACCAACAGTTTATGCAAAACAGGAGAGGAGGCTGAGCCTTGGACGAACCGCCTCGACCAATCAGGTAGTTGCGGTGATGACGCAATGCGAGAGGCCTTGGGGGTTGTTCTCCCGCCAAGAATATTCTCGGGGTTGCTTTTGCTTCAAGCCCAAAGAAATGCGACTCGCCTCTTTGCCCACACAATCTCCAAGTGCTATCCAATGAGAGACACCGGAGTCCACAAAAAGGGTTCCCCTTGCAATCCGACCGACAAATGGATGGTTTCGGGCAGAAAATGGGAAGTGTGGTGAGGCTTGACTCATTCGTGCTGCGGAGTTACGGGCAAAGGAACAAAAAAGTGGTGGTGTGGTGTGCATGAGACGGGACACACACCCCCCCAGATACTGACGTGGCAGCTTTGAAGGCTCGTTGGTTCCCAGCTAGCAGGCTTGGGTTCAAGAAAGGCCACGTGTTCCTCTTCAAAACGCAAAAAGCAAACCCCTTGAAAATGCGCCTCGGACCAGTCACCTACGTGGACTCTGGCCATTGCATTCCCTTCCCGCTACAGGTCACCCCAGACCTTCTCCAGAAAATTATTTCACATGCTACATTCTTGTGAACCAATTTTTTAAAACAAGCAATCTCTATTGGGACTGATCACGTATAGATGGTGCATGACAGCTGTTGCTGGTAAACGACCACTTCATATTGGTGAACCGCCGCTATTACCCAGGTGCAAGATAGACGAAAGTGGTATCAAGCATCGTACTAGGTAATGGCAGTGAGCAGGCATTCACTGTATATCCCCTTCGCATCACACAACGAGCATGTGGAACACCTTGAAACGAAGAAAAACGTGGAAGGGTTTCCAGATTGTCAATTATTACTGTACGTACATGTATGACATCAATGAACAAGACCAACAAATCCACTGAAGAAGCAGTGTTCAAGGATCACACTTCAGACTCCATAACTGTTTCCAAAACTATTTCCTAACTACCGTAACACTTTCTGCTAAAAAACGAGGAATCTACAACAATAGGGAAATGCTCTAGACTGACACTTTCACCTAACCAACAAGCTTACACACTTCAATAAGAATGTCCCACGCGAGGTCACATCTCCTCTTGTGATTTTCTTACACATCTGCCCACTTTCTTCTTGAACACGTCACGTGACTCCCGCCACTCTTTCTGTAGAAGAGGACAAGGGACATGGGCACAGCTCAGGCATTGAGCCATAAGTGAAGAGGTGACTGGGTGTGAGGGCGAGGGAAGCATGAGTCTGGCAGAGGCAGACAAATAGCAGGTAAATCAGGGAAAGAGTAAACGAGAGTGAGGAACGCAAAGGGGAAAAAGAGCAAGAGCGGGAAAAACGAGAGTGAGAGCGGGAAAAAATGGGAGGACTAGGTGGGCACAGGTGGATGAGGGAAGAAGGTATGAGCTGAAAGGGACGGCGCAAGTTAAAGACAAGATGGTGAGCAAAGAATGAGCAAGAATGTGGAAAGGACAAAATGGAGGCAAGGCACAGGCATGAGCTCTGGGTGAGTAGCAAGCTGGCATGGTTGCTCTGTGACACATCAACAACGCAACACTGCAACCCAGCAATACAAAGACACAGTATGCGCAGCTCAAATCACACTGCTCACCGCTGCGTCGATATTAGCAGGCGATTCGTCGTTGGGGCTTGAAAGCATGGAGATGATGCTCAACAGAATGGTCTCCACCTGCCAAGTAAAATCACAAGCACGAAGTATTGAGGAACCGATCCTCCAGTAACCCAGTACCCCAAGATCTGACAAAGTCTGGAAAGGATACGCCTGCGTGGATAGATGACTCTCAATGTTGACCCAACGGCCCTGCAGAGGAGCTTACAGTACAGTGTGCACAGGAACCCACGAATCTGACTCAACGGGATATGTGTAGAAGCTTACTGTGTGCCAGGGAGACAAAAGAGTTGACCCAAGAGAAAAACGTAAAGGAGCTTACAGTATGAACGGGCGACCAGCGTTCGCTTGCCAGCTCGTATCCATTTGGGTCGTCGCCAGGTGCGTGCAGAATCGATATGCACACCCGGCCGTCGGGGTAGACTGCGACGGAGACGAACGAATAGTGCATACCATCAAGGAGGACCAACGGCATCAATCATCATTCTCCCAATACTGATGAGCACAAGCAGGAGCTTTATGAAGTCTAGCCAGGTCACAAGCGCAGCCCCTAAATGCACTATTTCGTCAAACAAACACGCGGAAGGAGTAAGGTTGCCATCGACTATGGCACTTCACGATACAACGATACAATCGAGACTGACAGCTTCCATACAATCGGATACTCACCGGTTGCATAAAACAAAAACTCACCGTTTGGATGCCACATTTCCGAGGTGAAGCGGACTTGCGGTGGGCTGTTGGGGTAGTTGTTCGGAAAGCTCATGATTGCATTGAAGAATCCACCCTCACTGCCAAACCGGAAAAGCATCCATGAATAAAACATGTACCGGTCTGCTCCTTATCGCGGAGAAGCGGGAAAGGCTTAACATACTAAATTCGGAAAACACGTACTAAAGGGTATCCGGCGGACCGATGATCGTGACTTGCCACTCGAAAAGATTAGAATCGTCCACGAGACCCGCAGAGAACCCGTCGACTGGATTCTTGAGCAAATCTGCGGGAAGGATTACGGAAACGACTAAGTACGGAAACAAACGACATGCTTCATAGCTCACAGAAGATTCAACAGAGCTGTTTCACGTCGACCAATATAACGTAGCTCCACGGGAACGCAATCCGTTGGTTAATCACCTCTCAGTTGCTTCTTCAGAAGTAAGCAGGCCTGGGAATCCGCCATCTTTCGCCCCTCACCCCACTACAACCGCAACAAACCAAAGCGGAAGATGTGAAACGCAAGCGATCGTAGATTGTAGACGTAAGCGCAGTGGGATAAGCAACTAGAGCTAGAGACCTAAAGTCGCTTCATCAGGTTTAGGCTAGTAGGTAAGTTGGAAAATGGTTTGAAGGGTATGAGGGTGACTTTTGTTTGGAGCTTAGGGAATTCCAACTCGCACAAGAACTGACTCGTTGTATATGAATGCCAGTTCTGGATAGAGTCCAGTTGGGTAATGCAAGATTCAAGTTTCTGCACGAAGTACATTGGGAGAAACTTTACTGGGTTGTTGGTTGGTGGCTTACATGGAAAGTGCAAGGGTGATTCCTCAAATTCCGGAACCTTGGCCATGTTCTGAGCCAAACGGATCACTTCCCGCGCCCAGGGCAAGACAGTGAAAGTTAAAGTTATATTTTGGTCATAACCAATTGGAATATCCATTTTCCTAGATGAGCACGTGCTGACCCCTTCTTGGGGGATTGGCAATACACGCAAACGGGGGTGGGTTCGATCCCAGGGCCTCATCCTTCGGAAGTGCCTCTTTCTACTGACTAGGCCACTTCTGGATCCAGGGAAAGACAGTGAAATTCCAGAATTCTCACAACCACGTAATCGGACGACTCCTGTCACCCCAATAAAAATTCTTAAAGCTCTAGGCCCAAATTGCACAAGATTACTAATCTTGCGTGGTAAGGGGTGGGTTTGGAAACGTAAGAGTCGAGGGGAGTGTTGGGAGGGTGACCTGTCGGGTTTCGCCCGTAACACTTGTTTTTTTCGCTGAGTCAGCGAGCTTCAGGGGGAAACGTGAGTTTGGGGTCCCAAATTGCATAGTAAAACTCGATGTTTTGGCAGTGAGTTTTGGTTCGACCAATCAGATTGCATCGCACCTACTGTAACCAAATTTTCGCCACACACCAGCACAGAAAACGAGAAGTGTGCAAGATTACTAATCTTGCCCTGCGCGGCCCGCAATTTGGGTCTTGAGCTTTAACCTTTTCTAGATGTGCTCGCCCATGTCCGACCACTTTTTCCTCAGGTGCTTGTCACACCTGAGAAAGATGTAAACCATTTCTATTTCGCAAGCTTGAAAAACAGCGTATTGTGGAAAACAAACGGAACAAGTGCTTCTCTGACCGGGAACAGCTTTGATCTGCGATTCGCAAAACCTCCAACAATGCAAAGAAACCTCGGGGTTGCCCTTCAGGAAAACCTTGAATTGCTTTCTCCAGTTCTGTTGTCAGCAGGATCAGCAGGATAAGTCTCCTTATTCCTTGATCAGACTCTCCTTACGTACCACGCCCCTTATTCCTAGGCGAGACTTTTGGGTGGCGTAACAGGCAGCGAAGCCTGGAATGCCCGGTATAGTCCCAGACAAGACCATGGTTTCAAAATCAGCCAAGGATGAGGTTTCCGTTAAGTCGAAGTTCATGCGACGGCTAGCGGCGAGCGACGAGGCGACGAGGGACCAGGCTTTCGAGGTCTTGTCGCGATGGCTGGTCGCTCGCAAAGAAATCGCCGAAGAAGACCTCCTGAAAATCTGGAAAGGCTTGTTCTACTGCATGTGGCATTCAGACAAACCGCCAGTTCAGGCGAACCTCGCGGAAAGAATGTCCGGTATTTTGATCTCTCTCGATCCTGACCTCGCGCTGCTGTTTCTACGAACCTTCTGGAAGACGATGCGACGGGAATGGGGGGGAATCGACTACCATCGCCTGGATAAATTCTATATGCTCGTCCGCCTGATCATGCGTAACATTCTTGAGTATATGGAGAAACGGGATTGGGAGGAACAGGTGGTTTCCGATCTTGCTGGCTGCGTCATGCATCAGGGGCTTTTTGCTAAGGACAAGTATCGGGCTATCGGTCTCGAGCTGCATATACTGGATATTTTCAACGAGGTCTTTAAAAAGTCTGGAGGGGATGACGTCAGAGTGGTGAAGGCTGTTCTGCAATTTTCTAAGCCAGTGGTGGGTGTGATTCAAACGAAGGAGGACGGACGGTTGCACAAGCGAGCTCTCAGCTCCGTGTTTTCGGGACTGGCGGAATATTTACGGAACGAAGCGAAGGCAAACGCGAGTGAAGCTTCATACGTCTCTGCGCTTCAAGAGGCGGCGCGCGAGATGTCCGCGGATCTCAAAGCAGCGCACGGCGCGGCGAAGGGGAAAAAGAAAAGCATGCTTCGGAAAGGAGAGGTGATTTTCACGGCGCTGCTTAACGAGCTGTCAGGCAGTGATGCTGCGGAAGGAGGGGAAAATGGGGAGGAGGAAGATGGTGATGATATGCAGGGTTTAGTTGAGGATGGTGCTGATGGCGGAAAGGACGACGCTGGTGATGGTGAGGGAGAAGAAATGGAAGAAGGGGAAGAGGAGGGGGGTGAAACAGGGGGACAGGGTTCAGGGGAGGGTTCAGGGGAAGGGGAGGACGGGGAAGAGGAGGAAGGAGAAGAGGAGGAAGGGGAAGAGGAGGAAGGGGAAGAGGAGGAAGGGGGAGAGGAGGAAGGGGAAGAGGAGGAAGGGGAAGCCGAGGACGGAGAAGAGGAGGACGGGGAAGAGGAGGACGCGGACGCTGAAATGGAGCAGCAGAACAGTGCGAAGGAGGAAGAGGATTGTGGGGAGCATGGTGAGGAGGAAGCAGATAAACCCAGAGGGGGTGTAAGAAATGGAGTCGTGGCTGGTTCTGCTGATGCGGGTGGTCAGAAACAGGCAAATTCCACCTCCAAGCGCAAGAGACGGCAGCAGCAGGCGCAGCAGCAGCAGGAGGGCAGCGGTTCAGGCAAGAAGCGCAAGGGAAAGAAGGATTTTGTGACGAAGGACGCAAAAACAGCCCTGCCGACGTCTGTAAAATCAAGCAGTGTTCAGAAGGAGGGGCACCAGACTGTACAGGGACACGCAGCAGCAGCAGACGCAGCAGACGCATCCGCAGCAATAGCAGCAGATTCTATCCCTACTGCGGCAGCTACCGTACGATCAGTGCTGGTGCACCCGCATCTGTCCATTAACTCCAAGACAGAAGGGCCGGGCGGCGGCGGGGCGGCAGACGAGGAGGAAGCAGACGGGTTTCGCACGCCGGAGAAGGACATCATAGACGCCTTCTCATCCTCCTTTGATTTCCCCCAGGATCTCGCCACAGGGGCCGGGAGTGTGGGTGCTAGGATCATGGCTGCTGGTGAAGCCGCCGCCGCTGCTGCCACGTCAGCAGCAGAGGGTGAGGCCGGAGGAGGTCCGGTAACCCGATCCAAGGACGGGAGAACAGACGCTGCGGCAGTTGGCGTGCAGTCAGCCCCGGCGGGCAAGGCCGGCGGCGCCGCGGGCAAGCGGAAGAAAAAGGTGAAATTCGTTCTGAGCCGCAATCTGGAGATGTTCAAGGGAGGCCCGGTGCCTCCTCCTGCTGTGCGCACACCACCTGCTTCCCGCCCCAAAGGCAGTGCGCTTAAGCCCGGGACTAAGCCGGGGCCGATCAACATGCGCATGCTCATGGCGACTGCAGATACGAGCCCGTCTCAGATGACTGCCTCTGGGCGGAAGAAGGTGGATAAAGCTGCCCGCTCGCCTGCCAAGTCCCCTAGTGCTGTGTCGCTGCGCCTGGTGAATTTCCTGCAGTGAGTCACAGGCAGCTTATGGCATGGGACAGCGAGACAGGCTCGCTAGATGCTGCCAGGATGCTGCATTGCTGCTTTATTGCTTGACATGACTGACGAGGAACTGGTTAATTCTTCCTAGTTTCAGTCCTTGAGCATGGGTCTGCGTCGTCATGTCAGCTGCTCTGCTCGTTCAAGCTATTTGAAATCTACCTACTGCTACTTTTTGCTGTTGTCGGGGTGCAGTCTTGTCTGGTTCTGTTAGGACGACTGTAAGATTTAACCAGTGCCTACAACTACTATCTTTACAGTGGGCGGTCTAGTTGAACTGGCCTCAGGTCATCATGATAGAAATGACACCTGGAGCTTCCAAGGTGGTCTTCCACTGGTGGTGGTTGGTGAGTCTCATGCGGTGGGCTGAGAGATCTTCACACATTCGCAACAAAACAGGACTTGATGCACACGGATACCATGCCAACAGAGGTATTATGATACCGTACCCGTTTTCACGAAGCAAAATACCTATGGGATCAGTCACAAAAAAATGGCACATGCTGTTCTCAACGACCAGAAAGCCTTGACAGTGCAGCTGTATAGAACATCATGCAACTTTGTATCCTAGCATGTGCAGGATACGGTAGTGTTGTGACAGGCAATGAAACAAAATGAAAAATAACAGAAAAGAGACTGCATGGGCCACCAGAAACAGTACAGTACATATGCCCCTGAACTTGGCCAATCAGAAGAATATAACCCCTTGGGGGGGGTGGTGGCGACCGAAAAGCAGGCCAGGTTGTCCGAAGGTCCCCATCCGGCAGCAATTATAGCACAGGAAGCAGCAGGTGATCATGCGGGTCACCAGGTGTATCCATCCACACTACATTCCTCTCAATGCTCCGCTCTGCCTTGTTGGGCTGAGATAGCCCCTTAGGATCTTTTCAAGGGAGAACTCTGGGTGGGATAGTGTTGTAATAGCGGAAGCGTTTAACAAAGTTTGTGAACCACCTTGCGCTGGTATGTGAGGGCAAAGTAGATTAATTATAGCAAGGAAGTACAAGATTATATAATAATACAAGGAATATGAAAGGATGCAGTTTGTAACTTCTTTACTGTTGCTGTTGCGGTTCGATACAGTACGACTCGGGCAACTGCTCTGTAACGAGTCAGTTGTGTGTCCTTAACTGTCGCGCTGTATTTGTCAGGTCAAAGGTCGCTTGACCTTTGACTTTCGCGTAACCTCCGGCAACTTCTCAACCTCCGAGGGTTGACTCGCGTTTGTTTCGATACAGCTTGCTTCGCTTCTGGTGCGATGTTTCGACACGACTGAAGCGCTTAAGATTCACTATTTCCAACACTCCCCTTCGCTTCTGGAGTGTCGTTGCTGATGACGTGGCTCTGTCCAGTCAGCAGCATGCAGTACTCGAATTTCTGCTTTCCGAGTTTCTTGGTCAAATAATCGGCTGCCATCTCGGACGTGGGACAGTATGACAGCTGAAGTCTCCCCTTCTCGATCTCGTCCTTTACGAAGAAGTAACGCAGGGCGATGTGTTTCGTCCTGTTCGCAAAGCCGTTCTTGTTGGCGATGCGAATTGCAGACTGGTTGTCGCAGAACAGGGTGAAGTTGGGTAACTCAGCTAACTTTGCTTCTTCCAGCAGCTCGCGGAGATAAAGGCCTTCCTTGGTGGCTGAGCAGAGTGCGATATATTCTGCCTCAGCTGATGATAGCGCGATTAACTCCTGCTTGCTCGACTGCCAGGAGATAGGACCGATAGGCTCGAGGCGGTAGACGTAGCCGGTGCGTGAGCGCCTGTTGTCGGTGTCACCGGCATGATCGGCATCGACGTAGCCGATTAACTTGGTCGGTGTAGCTGCGTTCTTATGATAAGTTAGGCCGATCGTCGCGGTGCTGATGAAGTAGTGAAGAGCGCGGTCAAGTTCCGCCAGGTGTTCTGCTTCAGGCTTCTTGAGATAAGTGGCGAGCTGGCTTGCGGAGTAGGATAGGTCGGGTCGGCAGGTGACGGCTGCGAAGAGAAGGCAACCTAGCTTCCTCTGATAGTCGCGTATGCCGGCGGGCTTGAGTAGAGTGGATCGTCCCTTCTCGGTTCCTGTCGTGTAGCGGTATGGCGTGGAGATGGCGGCTGGTGTGAGAGCGAAGCGTTTAGCGATAGTGTCGGCGTATTTCTCGGCGCTGAGATAGATCGCATTTTCTTCTTCTCGGATGTTGAGGCCGAGGTACTGTGTGACGGTAGACGAGACGGTAAGTGTGAGGTCTTGTTGCAGCTCCCCTTCGAACCAGGTGGTGATGCCGTCGGTAGAACCGATGTAGAGGAGATCGTCCACATAGACGATTAGAAGAATGTAGTCAGTGTTCTTCGTGAGGCGGTACATGCCCTGATCGTGCGGGAGTTGTTTGAAGCCGATGCGGATGAGGCGAGCATGCAGGTACTGTTGCCACAGTCGCGGCGCCTGTTTGATCCCGTAGAGCGATTTTAGTAGCTGGCAGACGTGCGTGGAATTTGTATTAGAGCCGTGCGGTAGTTCCACGAAAATCTCTGCATCGACCGGTGCGTAGAGAAAAGCGTTTGCGACGTCGATTTGGCGCAGTTTCTTCTTCTTCATAGCGGCGATGGCGAGAAGAATTCGAAGTGAAGTGTGGCGGCTGACCGGAGCGAAGGTTTCAGTGAAGTCTCGTCCATGTTCCTGGTCGAAGCCGCGAACGACCCATCGTGCTTTGAACTTGTCGACGGTGCCGTCGGCCTTGGTCTTCACACGGAAGACCCATTTCCCGGTAAGAATGGTCTTGTTTCGCGCTACGCCGATGGGAACGACTTTCCAGGTGTTGCGCTCCTCTAATGCCTTCAGTTCCTTGTCCATGGCTTCGCGCCATTTTTCTTTATGCTCCCCCCCCAGAGCCTGCTGAACCGTCGCAGGCTCCTTAGGAATGTCAGCGCCGTGGACCGCGGTGACGAGCCCAAGGATTTGGAGTCCGCTCTGTGTGTAGCGGGGAAGTGTGGTGTCCTCGGGATAGACTGCCTCGTCTCCAGCTTCTGGATCAGGTGCGAAGTTGGGCCCTATGCGTTCTGCTTCGTTGGTGTTGACTTCAGCAGGTGTAACGTAACCGTTGTCGGCGAAGTGGTAGTAGGTTTCGGCGTTGACGCTTTCGCGAGGGTTTTCTTCGTCCATCGGTACGTCCACTGAGCAGTAGGGAAGAGGTCCGGCTTCTTCCGAGGCTCCTTCCACGTTCTGCTCGTCCCAGTCAGCTTCGTCTTCTGCCGAAGCGAAGGCTCGATCGCCACGGAAGCCACCTGTGGGGTCTCGATTTTCGTCCAGGTTGGCAAGGTATGTTGGCAGTGTGAGCCGCTCGTAGAAGATCACATCACGTGCTGCTACTGTTTCCTTGCTGTTGATATCGAAGATCTTCCATGCGTTGTAATGTTTTTCGATGCCCAGGTGTAGTCCCCACTGTGCGCGTTGGGAGAATCGGCCGGCTCGTGCAGATGGTGGTCGGTACTGTACCATGCAGCCGAAGACTCGTAACATTTTTGTGCTGCCCAGTTTCCCTGTCCACAGCAGATGCGGTGATGTGTTGTTCGGGAGTGACGACGAAGAAAGCAAGTTGTGCAGCATCACGGCGTGGTCCATTGCTTCGGGCCACTGGTGGTTGGGTAGCCGCATGCCACGTAACAGTTTGCGCATGGTGTTCTGCAGAGTCCTGTTCATCCTTTCTGCTACACCCTGCTGTTGATGGGCGTAGGGAAGGGAGATGAGTCTCTTGATTCCCTTCTCCGCCAGATACTGCTTGAACCGCTGTGACGAGTATTCTCCTCCTCCGTCTGATTGAAAACTTTTGAGTTTAGCTCCCGATTCCCGTTCTGCTGCTGGAAGCCATGCCACGAAAGCCTCGAAAGCCATGTCGCGACTTGGTAAGTTTAGGTGCCAGACGTAACGTGTAGCGGCGTCGATGAAGGTGATGGTGTAGTTATACGCGTTTTGTCCGGGTTCGCGGTTGTACAAGATGTCGCTGTACACTTTCTCGAGTGGTGCATATGCAGGTGCGCTTGGGTTGTGATGCGAAACGAAGGGCTGATGTGGTAAGTCAGCTTCGGGGCAGGTGAAGCACGTTCCTCGAGCTCGCTGAAGTTCTCTGCCGTCGGTCAGTAAGAGTGAATCCTTGTCAAGTACTCCAGCTCTTATCGTGTTGTTTAATACTGTGTTGCTTGGGTGTCCCATTCTTGCGTGCCAGGTTTCTTCATTGGCGCGGTGTCCTGGCGAGCGTCGGTATATGTCGGAGTTGGAGTAGAAGCCGGCGATGATGTTCGCGCTTCTGTGAACTTCCCGTGGTGCCGGGTTGAGCTGCTGCGCCGGTGTCGGCGGCGTCTCGTTGATGAAGGACTGTGCCGTTGAGGGACCAGTGACTGGTGTTAATGTTTCTGCTGCTGCTGCTGTTGTCTGTGCTGCTGTCGATGTTGTTTCTGCTGCTGCCAATGTTGTTGTTGCCGACGTTGTCTCTGCTGTTGCCGATGTTGTCTCTGCTGCTGCCGATGTTGTCTCTGCTGCTGCCGACTGCTGAATTGTCGCCAGCGCCCTTGTTCTTTCTGTTTCAGGGATGGTGTGTGAGTACCAGAAGCCGCTCGGGCTGAAGTCTGGATCAAGATCTGGAGGATGTGTCCAGTTGGTGAAGTTTACGATGGCGTCGCTGTCGGCCGTGCCAAGATCGGGAACGAAGTCCAAGACGAAGACATTGTTTTTAAGGACTGCCTTCCCGATGTAAAGACCTCCTCTCCCGTGGTACAACTTGAATTCTTGGGTAGTGCTGTCTGCTTCGAGGTGGATGCCTTTCGCCATCAACTGACTGACGCTCAGTAAGTTGTAGCCCAAGCCCTCTGCAATTAGGGCCTTGGACATCTGCAAAATAACATTTGTCTCTCGTGACTGAAGTTGAACAACTCCTTGTCGTCGTGTGCGCAGGTTTTGATTGTTGGCGACGGTGATGACAACTTCCCGTTGAAGCTGGTACTCTCGCTG